CGTTGTTGGACAGTCTTGTGAAGAGAATGCTCAGGGTTGTCCATCATTTTCTTGATTCTCTGGAGAGTCCTTCTTTGCATTATCTTCAATGGTTCCACAGTCGCCCCCAGAACAGAACCAGCCTTTTTTATTGGGCTGTTGAGCCTTTTCAGGTCCCTGCTTCTGATGCTACTACCCCAACAGACGATGGCTGAAGAGATTACACTCTCAACAACAGACTTGTAGAAGATCTGCAGCATCTTGCTACAGACATTGAAGGACTTAAGCATCCTCAAGAAGTGCAGTCTGCTGTGTCCCTTCTTGTAAATGGCTTCGCTGTTCTTTCTCCAGTCCAGTCTGTTGTCCAGGTGAACTCCAAGGTATTTGTATTCCTCAACCACCTCCACTTCTTCTCCCATGATGGAAGCAGTGTTAGACTCCACCCTGTTTCTTCTGAAGTCTAAAATCATCTCCTTTGTTTTGTTCACGTTCAAGGTCAGATGATTGTTTCCACACCATGCCACAAAGCACTCCACCAGCTCTCTGTACTCAGCTTCCTGTCCATCTCTGATACACCCGACGACTGCAGAGTCATCTGAGTATTTCTGTAGATGACAGGTCTCTGATTTGTATTGGAAGTCTGAGGTGTACAGGGTGAAAAGGAATGGTGAGAGTACAGTCCCCTGTGGTGCTCCAATGTTACTGATCGCCTAGTTTGATGTGCAGTTCTTCAGCCTCACAAACTGTGGTCTGTTTGTCAGGTAGTCTTTAGTCCAGGTGATAGTTGAGGCCCCCACCTGTGTCTTCTGGAGTTTCTGGCAAAGTACATCAGGCTGGATTGTGTTAAATGCACTGGAGAAATCAAAGAACATGATCCTCACAGTGCTGTCTGCTTTGTCCAGATGAAAGTGGGTTGGTTGAAGCAGCTGGATGATGGCATCTTCAACTCCAACTCCAGGGCGATAAGCAAACTGCAGCGGGTCCTGATATGTTCTAGTTTGCTTATTCAGGTGGACCAACAGGAATCTCCAGGACCTTCATGATGTGGGATGTGAGGGCAACCGGTCTGTAGTCGTCATTGACTGATGGGCGAGTTTTCTTTGGAACTGGAACAAGGCAGGATGTCTTCCACAGGACTGGAACCTTCTCCTGGGCCAGGCTGAGGTTGAAGAGGTGCTGCAGAATCTCACAGAGCTGCTCTGCACAGGCCTTCAGTACCCTGGGGCTGACACCATCTGGACCTGCAGCCTTGTTCCTGTTCAGTCTCTCCAGCTGCCTCTTCACCTGACTTCTAGAGACAGATAGGTGGGAGGGGGAGGTAACTGGGGCAGCAGCATCTCCTGACTTGGTTGAAGACAGATTTATAGAACCAGAAGAGTCCATGACTGCGTTAGAGGACAAAAGAGCTGGCGTGTGATAGAAAAATGTTGGATCAGAGGAGGATGGGATGTCTAATTGGCTGGGGACAGGCGAGGAGGATGCTGGGTTTGTTCTTGAACTGAACCTATTGAAGAACTTGTTCAGTTCATTTGCAGTGTCCAGGCTGCCATCTGTGCAATCCTTACTCTGCTTGAAGCCTGTGATTTTCTTCATCCCTGACCAGACATCTGATATTGTTCCTCTGTAGTTTGTTCTCCAGCTTCTTCCTGTATGCCTCCTAACTGTCTCTGATCTTGATCTTCAGTTGCTTCTGTATACTCCTCAATAATTCCCTGTCTCCCTCCTTGAAGGCTCTTTTTTCTCATTTAGCAGATTCTTCAGTTCACTGGTGATCCAGGGTTTGTTATTAGCGAAGCATCTCACTGTTCTGGTGGGTATAATGTTGTCCACACGGAAGTTTGTATAGTCAGTGACACATCCAGTCATGGCATTGATGTCCTCTTCATATCCTTGGCAGATGGTCATCCAGTCTGTGGTCTCAAAACAACCCTGCAGGGCTTCTTCGGCGTTCTGTGACCATTTTCTCACAGTTCTTCTTATCACAGTTTGCGTCTGAACAAGTGGTTCGTAATCTGAGCAGAGAAAAACAAGATTGTGATCTGATTGTCCCAGAGGTGGTCTTGTTTTGGACATGTATGCATTCTTTACATTTGCATAACACAAATCCAATGTCTTGTTTTCTCTGGTGGAGCAGCTGACAAACTGTTGAAATGTTGGAAGTGTAGCAGAGAGCGAGGCATGATAGCCACAAATGCATTGGGGTGCTGGGTTTGTAGCTTAGCGACAACGGAACTGATGGCATCACATGCACTTTCAGCAATGGCTGAAGGTGGAATGTAACATGACCTGGATGGCACCATCTGTTGTTGACAAGCACTGCCACTCCACCACCTTTTCTTTTCCCGCTCCTCTTCAGATCTCTGTCTGCTCGTCCAGTCAGGAATCCTGGCAGAGAGACGCTGGAATCAGGGATATGGTCCTGCAGCCACGTTTCAGTTAAACACATTACACTGCACTGCCGATACTCTGGCTGAGTCCTTGAAAGGGCTTGGATTTCATCCATCTTGTTGGCCAGTGATCTCACATTGCCCATTATGATCGATGGAAGAGATGGTTTGAATTTCCTTTTTCTCTGACTCCGTTTTGCTCCCGCTCTGCACCCTCGCTTCTTGCGTCTTAGCTCATTTGGGATTTGTGGCTTCATTTGAGGTATTATTTCAGCCTTTCCAATGTTAATCAGCTGCTTCCGATTGTAAAACAGCTTGTTGCCATGGTTACACATCATAACAAATGCTCAAAAAGTGAAAAAAAAATAGCAGTAAAAATCCAAGCTTCACAGCACCAGAAACAGAAAATTAAAATGTCCAAAAAAATACAGTTTTTCTTGAGAAACTAGAAGAAAAAATGTCCAAAAAAGGCAAGCTTACATATAGTCAACAGAGCTACTCTAACATGCAGCCACCCAGCCAGAGCAGCGCAGTTCCGGAACTGTACCCAGCACGTTTCAGTTTTAACCCTGCTTCAACACACCTGATTTCAATCAGAAGGTGATTAACAGGCTCCTGCCGAGCCTGATGAGCTGCTGCACAGGTGATTTAACCACTGTATCAAGTGTGTTGGAGCAGAGAAACCACTAAAACTTGCTGGATACCGGCCCTCCAGGCCTGGAATTGAATACCCCTGCTTTACAAGGTTAATGAAAGGCCACCCAGCCCCTATCGCCCCTATGACCAGAATATCTCACTTGCAACTTCAGACTTACAGGCGGCTGTTGGGCTGACATACCAGCCACTGGAGTCTGCTTCCAGCATGTTTGCTGCATGTTTTAGATCATGAACACAGCCGATTTGTTTAATTTAGTGATGAATCACTCTTGTAGAGATTAAGGAAGGCTGCAGAGACATTTCAGCTGTTCAATTAAGTTGTTAATAAGACAAACGCACATTGGTTCTACAAATGGACACTAGGGGGTACCAGGCATGCCAAAACTGCCTACTTCCCTTTTAACAGACACATTTGCTCAGATTTCTGATTTTAAAATGATTTACTAACAACTGAATCATGTCTTAAATTCATTTAGGCATTTTTAAAATCCCCATTATTTAAAAGGTAGTTGTCTTGAAAAGGGTAGAATGAAGTCTCCAGGTCAGGGATGAGGCCCTGCCTCGAGTGGAGAAGTTAAAGTATCTTAGTCTTTTTTCCAAGTGAGGAAAAGCTGGAGCATGAGATCGACAGGTGGATTGGTGCTGTGTCTGGAGTGATGCGGGTGTTGTACCGGTCTGTCGTGGTGAAAAGAGAGCTGAGCTAGAAGGCGAAGCTCTCGATTTACTGGTCGATCTATGTTCCTACCCTCACCTATGGTCATAAGCTTTGGGTAGTGACTGAAAGAACGAGATTGTGGATACAAACGGCCAAAACGAGTTTCTTCTGCTGGGTGGCTGGGCTCTCCCTTAAAGATTGGGTGAGAAGTCCGGTCATTCGGGAGGGGCTCGGAGTAGACCCGCTGCTCCTCCACATCGAGAGGAGCCAGTTGAGGTGGCTTGGGCATCTGGTCAGGATGCGTCCTGGACGCCTCCCTGGTGAGGTTTTCCGGGCACGTCCTACCAAGAGGAGACCTAAAGGAAGACCCAGGACACGCTGGGGAGACTGTCTCATCTAGTCAAGAAACGTCTTGGGATTCCTCTGGAGGAGCTGGCCCAGATGGCCGAGGAGACGGAGGTCTGGGCCCCTCGGCTTAGGCTGCTGACCCTGCGACCCGACTCCGTTAAAGCTGAAGAAAACGGATGGATGTCTCAAAAAGAATGCGAGTGAAGGAGAGGTTGTAGGTAAAAAGGGCTGAAGGATGCACCGAGCATAACTTCATTTCCTAAACTGTTAAGTGCTCGGGGCTGAGAAATAAGCCAGCACTCCCCAAACGGTCACCCATCCTGCTTCTGCTCTTTAGCATTTAGTCATTTTATCTCTTCTATCACAGCCTCCTCTTGTTCCTTCTATCCTCCCAATCACATCACACTCTATGCACCTCCAAAACAGCCTTTTCACAATTTTTTTAGAGATTGATGCAGTTATGTTAGCTTAAACTGTGAAGGTGTTTTAGAGTCTGCGTGTAATTTTCACAAATGTTCTCAGCAGGAGGTTTTTTTCCCCCTCCACAGCCAGCCACACAGCTTTGCGGACGTTAAGTGCAGCCAGCTAGCAATACACAAACAGCCCTGATTATTTTTAGTGTGGAGGTCTGACGTGCAACAGTTCAGACTGTGACTAAGAGCTCGTTTGTTCGTGCTTTCCCACTTGGGTCAGTGGGACTTTTACTTTGGTGTTTGAGCATTTTTCTGATTTATTCATTTTAGGTTCAATGCTTGAATTTGCTTTACACACCAAGCATAGTTCATTATATGAAGAATGTGATCTGTGTTACATGCAAAAATGCTTTCATTTGATAAAGTTGAACTTGTTTTTTTTTTCATATAATGAATTCGGTTTGGAACTATCTAATACTCCATCATGATTTGCAGAGGTCAGACTCTTCAGCATTTCAGTTAATTAAACTAACTGAGCCTCCTTACCTCTTTTATCTGCAGGTACACTATCCCACCTGAGCACGGCAAGAGGCTGGAGAGGCTGGCACAAGGTGAGAGCAATGATTTATTTTTTCCTTCCTTCATTCATTCATTCTTAACAAATGCACCAGTCATTTTAGTAAACACCAAAATTTATTTAATTTAAAAAAAATGGATTAAGTGTCTGTCAGTCTGCCCCAGGGTGGCTGTGGCTACACTGCAGCTCATCACCATGTGTGTGAAAGACTGACTGTATTGTACAGGTCTAATGTGGAAAAAGTAAACATGGTGCAAAAGTTCATTTTTTCATTAGTTCAACTTAAAAAGTGAAACTAATATATGAGGTATACTCATTAGATGCAGACCCAGATATTTCAAGCCTTTATCTGTTATAATTGTGATGATTATGCCTTAAAGCTTATGAAAACCCCACATTTTAAAATATCAGACAATTAGAATATTGTGAAAAGATTCAATATTCTAGACCCAAAGTGTCACCCTCTAATCAGCTAATGAATCCAGAACACCTGCAAAGGGTTCCTGAGCCTTTAGATGGTCTTTCAGTCTAAGTTGAATGACTGAAATAAATGGACTTTTACACCATATTCTCATTTTTTGAGTTTCACCTGTAAAGTGTTTTGGAGTCCTCTGACTCAGAAAGGTGCAATGTGAGTGCAGGCCATTAGTCATTTACCATTCTTTACAACAAATGTCTACTGTACAGTTGAAAAGTTTCACTTGTGTGGAAATAACATTTATGGATTCACCCATAGTGACGCGCAACGGGGAAAGCTGTTGTTTGTTCAGCAGGAAACAGCAGAGAGCGTCTCGTCTAGTAGAAGCTAACGGTTAGCATTAGCAACTCCAAAACATGGCAGAACTCCTTCAGGCTCACTTTAGGTTTGCGGACCTGAGAGCACAAGGAGGTTGTTAGCGAACGGAGCAACACACTCAGATAGGAGGCTTGACTGTGCAGAGACTTGAAAACTTTTTAAAATTGATCCTATACTGAACCGGCAACCACTGAAGAGATTAGAGAATAGGTGTAACGTGGTGTCTTCTATTAACTCCGGTCAGGAACCTTGCTGCTACATTCTGAACCAGCTGAAGTCAGCTAATGCCATAAAGGTAGGAGTAATCTGTCCTCAAACAAGTGCGTCAGACCTCCAGAGTACAACTTACAAGGCGTAGTCGTCGTCGTCTTCCTCCGCTTATCCGGGTTGGGTCGCGGAGGCAGCATCCCAACGAGAGGGCTCCAGACCGTCCTCTCCCCAGTCTTCTCCACCAGCTCCTCCGGCAGGACCCCAAGGCGTTCCCGGACCAGATTGGAGATGTAACCTCTCCAACGTGTCCTGGGTCGACCCGGGGGCCTCCTGCCGGCAGGACATGCCCGAAACACCTCCCCGGGGAGGCGTCCAGGAGGCATCCTGACCAGATGCCCAAACCACCTCAACTGGCTCCTTTCGATCCGGAGGAGCAGCGGTTCTACTCCCGAGTCCCTTCCGAATGTCCGAGCTCCTCACCCTATCTCTAAGGCTGAGCCCAGCCACCCTACGGAGGAAACTCATTTCGGCCGCTTGTATCCGCAATCTCGTTCTTTCGGTCATTACCCAAAGCTCATGACCATAGGTGAGGATTGGGATGTAGATCGACCGGTAAATCGAGAGCCTGGCTTACTGGCTCAGCTCCTCTTCACCACGACAGATCGGCTCAGCTTCTGCATCACTGCAGATGCTGATCCAATCCACCTGTCGATCTCCCGATCGCTCCTACCCTCACTCGTGAACAAGACCCCGAGATACTTAAACTCCTCCACTTGAGGTAGGACCTCTTCCCCGACCTGGAGTTGGCAAGCCACCCTTTTCCGGTCGAGAACCATGATCTCAGATTTGGAGGTGCTGATCCTCATCCCAGCCGCTTCACACTCGGCCGCGAACCTACCCAGCAAGAGCTGAAGGTCAGAGCTGGATGAAGCTAGGAGGACCACATCATCCGCAAAAAGCAGAGACGAGATTCTCCTGCCACCAAACTCGACACACTCCACGCCATGGCTGCGCCTAGAAATTCTGTTCATAAAGGTAATGAACCGAACCGGTGACAAAGGGCAGCCCTGGTGGAGTTCAACCCTCACCGGGAACAGGTCAGACTTACTACCAGCTATGCGGACCAAACTCACGCTCCTCTGGTAAAGGGACTGAATGGCCCTTAACAGAAAGCCACCCACCCCATACTCCTGGAGCGTCCCCCACAGGGTGCCCCCGGGGACATGGTCATAAACCTCCAAATCCACAAAACACATGTGGATTGGTTGGGCAAACCCCCATGCCCCCTCCATCACCCTTGCAAGGGTATAGAGCTGGTCCACAGTTCCACGGCCAGGACGAAAACCACATTGCTCCTCCTCAATCTGAGATTCAACTATCGATCGGACCCTCCTCTCCAGTACCTTGGAGTAGACCTTTCCAGGGAGGCTGAGGAGTGTGATCCCCCTATAGTTGGAACACACCCTCAGGTCACCCTTCTTAAAGATGGGGACCACCACCCCGGTCTGCCACTCCACAGGAACTGCCCCCGATGACCACGCAATGTTGCAGAGACATGTCAACCATGACAGCCCTACAACATCCATAGCCTTGAGATACCCAGGACTAACCTCATCCATCCCCGGGGCTCCGCTGCTGTGTAGTTGTTTGACTATCTCAGCAACTTCTGCCCCCAAGATTGGACAGTCCATCCCCAGGTCTTCCGGCTCTGGTTCCTTCTCGGAATGCACATAGGTGGGATTGAGGAGCTCCTCAAAATATTCCTTCCACTGTCTGACTATAGCCCCAGTTGACATCAGCAGCTCCCCATCCCCACTGTAAACAGTGTGAGCGAGTTGCTGCCTTCCTCTCCTGAGGCGCCGGACAGTTTGCCAGAATCTCTTTGGAGCCGATCGATAGTCTTTCTCCATGGCCTCACCAAACTCCTCCCACGCCCGAGATTTTGCCTCGGCAACTGCCACTGCTGCACCCCGCTTGGCTATCCGGTACCTGTCTGCTGCCTCCGGAGACCCACAGACCAGCCACGCCCTGTAGGCCTCCTTCTTCAGCCTGACGGCTCCCCGAAACTCTGGTGTCCACCAGCGGGTACGGGGGTTGGCACCACGACTGGCACCGGCCACCTTGCGACCACAGCTAGCAACAGCCCCCTCAACAATCGCAGAGTGGAACAAGGCCCACTCGGATTCAATGTCCCCCACTGCTCTAGGGATGCGGTCAAAGCTCTGCCGGAGGTGGGAGTTGAAGACCGTCTTAACAGGTTCTTCTGCCAGGTGTTCCCAGCAGACCCTCACTATGCGTTTGGGTCTGCCAGGTCTACGTGGCATCTTCCCCTGCCATCTGATCCAACTCACCACCAGGTGGTGATCAGTTGACAGCTCCGCTCCTCTCTTCACTCAGGTGTCCAAAACATACGGCCGCAGGTCAGATGATGCAAAGACTACAAAGTCTATCATCGACCTGTGACCTAGGCTGCCCTGGTACCAAGTGTACCGATGGGCATCCTTATGTTTGAACATGGTGTTCGTTATGGCCAAACTGCGGCTTGCACAGAAGTCCAATAACAAAACACCACTCGAGTTCAGATCAGGCTGGCCGTTCCTCCCAATCACACCCCTCCAGGTCAAGCTGTCATTGCCCACGTGAGCATTGAAGTCCCCCAGCAGGACAATGGAGTCCCCTGATGGAGTACTATCTAGCACTCGTCCCAGGGACTCCAAAAAGGGTGGGTACTCTGAACTTATATTTTGCTCATAAGCACAAACAACAGTCAGGACCCGTTCCCCAACCTGAAGCCGCAGGGAAGCTACCCTCTCGTCCCCCGGGGTAAACCCCAACACACAGGCAGAGAGCCTTGGGGCTAACAAAAAGCCAACCCCAGCCCTCCGCCTCTCACCCAGAGCAACTCCAGCAAAGGAGAGTGTCCAACCCCTCTCAAGGACTTGGGTTCCAGAGCCAAAGCTATGTGTCGAGGTGAGTCCGACTATATCTAGCCGGTACCGCTCAACCTCTGCCACAAGCTCCTGCTCCTTCCCCGCCAGCGAGGTGACGTTCCATGTCCCAAAAATCAGTGTTCTTGTCCGGGGATCGGACCGCCAAGGCTCCCGCCTTGGTCTGCCACCCGATCTACATTGCACCGGACCCTTCATGATCCTCCTGCGGGTGGTGGGTCCACAGTTGGATGAGCCCATGTATCCGGTTCGGGCTGGGCACGGCCGGGCCCCATGGGCGAAAGCCCGTCCACCAGGCGCTCGCTCATGGGCCCCAACCCCAGGCCTGGCTCCAGGGTGGGACCCCGGTAACCCTCCGGGCCGGGTACTCCGACTCTTTGACTTTACTTCCATGAAAGATCCTGTGAACCGTTCTTTGTCTCACCCTTCACCTAAGACCAATTTGTCATGGGAGACCCTACCAGGGGCATAAAGTGCCCCAGACAACATAGCTCCTAGGATCATTAGGGCACTCAAACTCCTCCACCACGATAAGGTGACGGTTCAAGGAGGAGAAATTACAAGGCATTCATTCCTACTGTAGACTCCTGCAAATGTATTAAAAATATAAGTGAAAGACCTGTTTAAGATAACCATGCTGAGGTTAAAAGTGATCAAGCACACAGCATGGGATGTAGCCATGCGGATGGTTGGATAAACCTGGAGAACCACCTTGCAAGGACCAGAAAACAGCCCAAAGGTGCACCGGACGCCGGTGCAGGGATTCCAGGGTTCCTACATTTTGGATGAGCATTCTTAGCATAACTTCATATTCTTACCAAACAAACTCTTGTTAAAGACTGACCTTTTCTTCAAGCACGCAAAGTTTGATGCTGACAGGGTTATGACCTGGATGTGATTTCATCATTTCCCATGAATGCTGAGCCTCAGTCTAACCTAATTAAAACACAATAAGTGCAAGGACCTTTATCACTCTTTCAGCTAGATCCGATGCTTTTTCTTTCCCTATCCAATCGGCTGCCAATAGGAGGAACGCAGTGCCAGTACTGTTTAACAGGCACCCACTGACCCATCACAGCCATTGTTGGAAGCTGCGTTTGTAAGGTCCTAAAGTGACTGGTGGTGTTTCTTCTAAAGAGGACCCTGCTGTGGCAGCTGTGTGTCAATCACTCCACATCTCTGCGTTATTTAAGCAGTAATTTCAGACCCTTTGTGTAGGGTGGCCACAATGACAGAAGCATACGGGGTTAAAGAGAGAGCCACTTAATTCTCAAACTGAAAAGGACAAAATGAAACCTTTAAGTTCATATTACCCTGTGGAAAGCTTGGAGAGCCAGCTGCATTTTAATGGGGATTAATACTCAGGCTCTGTCAGCACATTATTCACCTTTTATCAGCTCCAACAAGCAGGAGGGCAATGAGAGAGTAGAGCCCCCCCACCCCCTACCTTTTTGCTTTGTAGGATGGAAGAGGCTGAAACAATGCAGTGAAAATGAAAGATGAAATGAGTGCCAATTATGCTGTCAGTCACATTAAAGTTTAACTTGGTGGAGGCTCAGGCGAACCCTTCCTCTGAGGCACCGGCGGGTACAGATGGTAAAGGACGAGCGAGCGGCAAAGGAGAAGTTCTTTCTTTTGATTATGTCGAGGCCATCTGAGGCTGTCTACAGTACAAACGGGCCTTTGTGTTACACAGCAAGTTTAGGCTTTCAGAGTCCAACGTGTCTTCCTTAAAACGTCATCTCCAGGTAGTTTTGGCCTCTGAGGAAATCAGTTTATTTTATAACGTAACATGCAGAAAGTTAAACAAAAGAGCAGCATGTTATTTCACACTGATTGTGTCCAAGTAAACATTCTTAGTCTTTGAGTGTTTAAATTCAACAAAGCAGGTCTTATTCAGTTTTTTAGGCGACGACCCCATGTTTACTTTTGTGTTGTAGCTGTTCTTTGTGCTACAATGATGTTTGTCGAATTTTCCTTGACATCAAACCCAAAACCACTAAATTGTTGCATTTCCGTCATCTGTGGTAACGTGATTAAAGCACACTCAAGGCACTAAATTAAGGAGGAATGGATTGTTCTGTTCCAGTTTATGGGATTAACTCAAATATGATAGTCAGTTAATTTTTCAGATGATGAAATCTCCTTAATTGTGTCAATTTGCTTATTATATTAACAATGCTTGTAAATGTATCAAAGGATCATACAGCTACTAACTCAACTTGACAAAGAAAAGAACATAAACACCAAGTAGTGGTTTATTTCAACTCTGCTTTTCCAGTATTTAGATGTAAATGAGTTCTCTTTTAGTTGATGTTGTCTAATTTAGGCAGCATCAAAGTTTAGTTACAAGTATGTGAGGGTAATTGTGATGATTCCTGACCTTCAGCATCAAGGCAAATAGCTTCATTTAGCAGGTTCCTTTTTTATACTGTTCAGCTGCAGTTTGGTGGCCTGGAAAGCCATCATATATAATTGAACATATAGTCTGGCCACGACCCATAGACATGGTGCAGGATCTACAGATTTAGTTCAAATTGTGTCTGCATGCTCTTGGAACAGCATTATTTTCTAAATAAAGGACTTAAGTAACTCGATCTGCTCTTGACTCAAAGAACAGCCTAAGTCTATGTAGAGATATGACGATTGGGGTGTTAATTATGATCAATAAGATGTGATGATTCTATATAAATAGAATATCAACCTGCTTGATCTTTGAATGTGTGAACGGCTCCCAATGACAAGCCGGCTCCCATCGTTCACTTTATTGAGCCGACTCTTAGAGCCGGTTCATTCGCGACCGACGCATCACTAGTGTGTATGAGTGTGTGAGCTTGTCAAGTCATGTACGCTGATTATCAGACAAATAGATATTGCAAGGACATATTCATTTCAGCCATATTAATTTAGGCACAGATTAATCAAACATTTCATTTAACACCTTGTCCATTCATTATATGGTTATTTAAGTATTTCATTTAACCATATTGTTCATTTCATCATTATTTTAACACTTCATTATTTATAACTGTTCATTATTATAAAAGGTCATTCTTTATTCTGTGAAGAAAAGACTAGATAGCAGCAGTTTGGCAGAGAAGAACCTTGGGAAGGGAGCATGTTGACAATGCCGTGATCCCGAGATGTCAGCATGCACTTGCAGAATCTTTCTTGCAGCTTGGAATATAGATAAAGCACACAGATGCAGAATTTTGTCTGCAGATGGCCGGAGACTGAAGAGGTCAAACTGTAGATGAAAAATTACCCTTTCTGGACATTACATCTAAATAGTCGAAAGTTGATGCCAAAGCCTTTTCAAGCCATCGCCATCTTAGTTGTTCCACTTCGTGGTATTGTCCCTCCCACCAAACCGATAGAGCGTTGTGATTGGCACAATGCAACACTGCTCAGGCCAATGGTAGACCTGCTGAGGCTCCTATGGAGGGTGGCTAGACCGACATGCAGAGCAAAATCCTTCAGCTGCTGTCTGTCTAGATTTATAGGCAGTTTCGTGCTTGACATGGGATTTCACTTATTTGCAGAGATGGAGACTTGTGGCATCAACAAGTCAACTCCATGCCATGATTTTGTTCTGCCAAGCACCTAACAAGATTCATTCACTGTGCTAATTGAAATCACCTGGTTGTAATTGCTGAACCAAAGAAAAACACCACATGGAGATGACTTGTTGATGCCACAAGTCCCCATCTCTGCTTCTTTGTCCCAAGAACATCTTACGATGAAGTGACAGACAGTAGAAGGCAGTTCTTTCATCGTGTGTCAGTATAACCACCTAAAGTTGGATATGAGGCAGCTGTAAGTTTTGTCTGTAGTTGAGTTCCAGTTCTGCATTTTAATGAAATTTCTTAAGTTTTCATTGTCACTAACACCCCCCCCCCCCCCCCAAAAATCATCCCTCGCAGGTTTTTTCCCCGGCAGCTGCCAGGGCTGTGACGCCTTCCTCCGCCACAAAATGACGCTGATATCGCCGTCCATCCTGAAGAAATACGGCATTCCGTTTGACAGAGTGAGTGGAAAATTATCTCTGCACATGTTGACTTTTTAATTCATCTCCAGTATAATGGTAAATGGCTAAATACATCAGAATCTAGGAGCTGTTGTTGTGCTTTTCAGCCATTACGCCTTCACAGGCATCAAGGTAGCTTTACTTGATGAATGAATGGATGCAGCAACATTTGATGGTCTTTTTAAAATTTATTTATTTATTTATTTATCCGTTTTCAACCTCCTTGTAACCACAGCAACCACTGTGACGAGGAGGTTGGTATAGGAGTATGAAATGTCTAAGATGGGAAAGAAAAAGTGAAGTTATCTATTTTTACGGACTTTTCTCTGCGTGGAATTGCAGAAAGGTGGGCTCGTTCTGAATGACTCAGCAATGACGCAACCGTGGGGAAAGATCATCACTTGTGCCTGTCACAGAAAACTAGTTGCCATCTTTTCACTGTTTTTGACTCCGCTCTCAGCACCACAACCGTGGTTAAAGGGAAAAAGTGGAGCCACAAAAAAAAGGTGCAGGGCAGGCATCCAAAGACCCCCTTCACTGAACTTATCCCAGCGCTCCCCCCTCAGGATGTCATTATCACAGCGAACATGTTGGGTGTAGCACACCTGCAGTATCTTTCCCGATTCATGTGTAAAAATAAAACTGTCTTCTGTTCTTGCCTGAGCGAGGAGGGATTTGACGGTTTGATATCTGAACCTTTGCTGTTAGTTGAGGAAGTTCAGCTTCTTCCCATTTCTTCCCTCGTGCCTGTTTTTTTTTCTGTCAGAATTGATGTGCCTCCTGATTGCAGGGCTTCATGTACAAGCTGAGATCTGCTGTTACATATAAGTTTTAAGGCAACACTCAAAAAAAGAGCTTAAGCAGCTGAACAATGAAACTGAGCTCTCAGAAAGACACTAAATACAGCAGCAGCGGTCACGTTTGGGTAAAAGACGTAAAGTTTAGAGCAAAGTTGTTTCTGAGAAGATCGTTTCTAAAACTTAAACAGTGGTTGATGTCTGAGGCTCATGGGTAATAACAATGTTTTGCACTTTTTTATTTATTGGTGAATCATGAACCACAGCTGTAAGAAATAATTGGGTGAATGAATCACCACTTTGCATGTCTGAGAAAGCATACACAGTTTCAGCACTTGCACATCAAATAAGAACTTACTAAAAAATTTCAAACTTTTAAACACGTTTTTTCTGTTTTATTCCCTTGAATGTGAACAGATCACTCAGAATGAAGGCGAGTTCATGATCACGTTTCCATATGGCTACCATGCTGGCTTCAACCACGGCTTCAACTGTGCAGAATCCACAAACTTTGCCACACTGCGCTGGGTGGACTACGGCAAGAATGCAACTCTGGTGAGAAGACTTCCATTTGCTCAACACCTGAATGTGTTTTCTCTGACTGATGACATGATTATAAAATGGTAAAGCCTGATTTATACTTCTCCGTGAGCTCCGCAACGGAGAGATGCACACGGAGTGTCTGAAAGGTTTTCACATTCGAACTTCTGTTCAGGGAGCTGAGTGTTGCAAAGCAATTCCCCACCAGGACAACAGAGGGTGTAGTGCTGTTTTGTGGTATCCTGCCACCATAACACTCAAGTATCCGGTCCACGATAGTGTATTTACTAATGTGTTTATATATTTCAGAGACTTGATAACATGGTGAAGTTTGTCCTTCATTCTCCTCCACCTCTTCATGCGGTCGCCACCTCTAAACCCACATTTCCCATCGTTTCCGTCTGTGTTTGCTCCATATTTTGTACTCCTTCACTCACGAGTGAATAAATGTTCTTATTTTCAGACTTTTTCTACGATGCGTTCTTCAGTCTATTCTGGGTCTGCCGCTAAGTATCTGTTTACTTTTTAACTGAGCTACAGCGGTGCTGGTGAGGAATTTACAGGAAGCGGTGTCCTGACCAATCACAAGCCTGCGGTATCCGTCACTTCCAACAGATGCTTAAAATTTTGGGCATGTCCGTCACCCTCTGTGAGCCTGTTGTAGGGTTTGGTAAATTAAGTGCTTTAAGAGCTCAATAGATATTACCTCTACTTATGACCAATAAGCTGGGATGCTCTATCTAAATATAGAACATCACCCTGCCTGGTCTTTATTGTGCTTTAACCAGAAGATTCTAGGATTCTTTATTTATTAGGGGGTTGTACACACTTCGTTTTGATTCAGAAAACAGGTTTATAAAAGTAAGTATTTATTTTCCAACAATTAAAACATGACAATTTAACTAAGCATGTACTGCGATGGATGGAATTAGTTGTGATGCATGAAACCTATGTGTGAATGAGATGTTAGTCAGAACTTCCGTATCTACAGGGTATCCGCGGGTCCTTAAAAAGTCTTAAATTAGCTTTTCCAAATTTAAGGCCTTTAAAAATCCTTAAAAATGACAAATAATGCTTAAATACAGTTTCCAAAGGTCTTAAATTTTCAAAGACTCAATAAACAAGATTCTTTTATTTCTATAAAATTTTCGTGAATTTCTAGTTAGTCTTCAGCATTTTTTGTGAATGATGTTGGCGTAAGCGGAACCGTACACATTCAGTTGGTTGTGAAAGGGGGCTATTTTTAGATGAGCACATTAGCTGGTTAAACTAGTGGGAGCTTGCGCCATGGGGAAGTGCAAGTTTAATGGTTTAATGAGAAGTTTAATGAGAAATTAAAATCAATAGAACAATATAATAGTATAACAATGGTTTAATGAGAAGTTTAATGAGAAATTAAAATCAATAGAACAATATAATAGTATAACAAAGAAACATGTGCAGGTTTACAAGCAAACACACAACTTACACAATGCTAAGAATGGGTGCAGGCAGAAGCATAAGCTTATAAGTCCAACCCCCCCAAACCCTTTGAACTTAAGCAAAATTTTAGAATAGCATACCAATTCCATAATTTTGACATCATGTTTGAAATGTATGGGAATATATTCAAATCCCCATTCTTGCTTTATAAAAAAAATGGTAACTGGATGGCTAATCCCACGTTCGCGACGTGGTTGGCACCGGTTCCAGGCAATAGCTGGAAATTAAAGCTTAAATTTAATTTTAAAATAGCTTAAATTTGGTCAAAGTGGCCTTAAAAAAGGTCTTAAAAAGTCTTAAATTTGGCTCACTTAAACCTGCGGATACCCTGTATCTAGGAGAGGTGAGTTCTGGATGTAAAATAATTTTTTGGGGGGGTTGTTCGGAGACCCCAGGTACCGAAATCCGTAGATTAACTTGCAGTACGACCAGGCAGTCCAGAGTCATCTCCAGGTAACGACAGTTGGAACTAGTTTGCGTCTCAGGAATAACTCTTAAGGAGTAGAACAAATCAGCTTGTTCTGCAGGAACTATTTTGTTGTATCAGCTTTGCAGGTGCAAAAAGGTTTTGACGACGTGTCAAAAGCTTTGGTGGGTTAAAGAGGTTTTTGCCTCAGGTGGCCGGCCTGAAGCTTCTCTAGAACTGAAGAATCACCAGAGTGATCTGGTGTTAATGTACTCATGTTATGATTATGTAGCCAACCAGAGGTTGACAAGTTTGAGGATATTACCAAGAATCTCAGAAACACGCCTTTGATCCAGAAGCTCTGATCTGGGGCAAAGGCTAATTATGTGTGATGGATTTAACTTGGTTCATGTGTGAGTGCAAATGTTATGACCTTGTCAAGTAAAATGCTGAAACATATATCATTGAGCCAAGATTAATGAACATTTCATTATTTTATAATTATTGTAAGTAACTATAAACAAACGTTTATTTAATGATTATCTAGCTTGTAAATTTTAGAAGTTCATATTTAATTTAAAAAATCTTCTTTCTTCTGTTCTTCTGTGAGGCAAGGAGTCTTGGATAAGAAGCGTGCTCTGTGAGAGACCTTGGAAGGAGAGAATGTTATTGTTATGATTTCATTATCTCTGTCAGAGCTGCAGGCTCTGAGCTCCAGCTGGTGTGAGGAAGGCAGGCTAATTTAAAGGGAATATATGCAGTCTCGTGTCTCCTTTTTGACCAGATGTTGAATGGTCAAACAGTACCTAAACTGACCATTGCTCGACGTTACACTGACGGAGAGCCCTCGTGCCGACGCATAACGGCGTTGCGTGTCTCCGCACCGACAAAGACGGAGAAGTATAAATCAGGCTTAAAGAGACACTTAAAACAAGTTATGAAATGTGGAAGTAAAAGATGACACCTTAAGTATTTCCCATCACCATCCTCATCATCCCCTCGCTCTGTTGACAAATGGAGACTTTAAATAAAATGGAATCCGATGTGCAAGTCTGCAGCACCCTCAGATTTTCTGCTCAGGTTCTTTGCTCCTCTTAAGGGATGCAGCAATAGATTATATCAAACTATAAAAGCAGCGCAGATCTGAGCTGCACACCATCTGTTACCGACACTAACTATACACTTGCATCCCTGCTCTGACGCAAACAGCCTCCCTCCCTGTGGGCTGCTGAGCATGAAATTGACAGGGCATGGGTACGCTTGTACAGGAAGTCCAACTACATTGTCCTCTGGAAGAAACTCCCCCCACCTTGTCTCCTTTCTTTACATTCTGCCATCCTTTCCCTGTTTACTCCGTCTCGATGTGTGTGTGTGTGTGTGTGTGTGTGTGTGTGTGTGGGTGGGTTTCCTCTCTGCCTCCTCATTACTTGGCTTGGCTGTATGTCAGATTTATGAGGTGCCAGTTTGCAAAAGTACATCTCCCTCCCTTCTCACTCGCTCTCATTTTCCGCATTCCTCCTTTACCCATGTGGCCACTTGTAATTTAAGAACCAGTGGCCCTGGCTTCAATGCTCAAGGGAGCATCTCCCGCTCACGTTGTCTCCGTTTGATAAAGAAGAGTGGTGTGTTCTGCACCACTAACCGAGGCCCACAAATCGACAGCACAGCACACAGTTGGAGGAATGTGAAGACTCGTTCGATGAGCAGCGCTTTGACATTCCTCTTCTCTGATGAAAGTTGCAGCATTGGTGTTCGAGATCATTATGACAAGACCACTATGAGATCGTTTGAATACTGAGAGTCAGTGGACCTTTTAACAGTTAGGCAGACATTGAACTTGATTGTTTTCTTATCGGATTTAAATCTAGATTTGAAACTTTGATATTGACTTTAGAGTCATTAAAGACCAGTCACAGTCTAATTGCTTTTAATTTAGTGGAGATCTCTCAGGAAATTTGTTTCCACCTACATTTCCTGTCAATGGTGATGGGATGGTGCAGTAGATCTGTATAACGCCCACCTCAAAAGTTAAACCTCATTCTCTCTCTTGGTCTTCCTTTCTTCTCCATGTTTAGTTTAATCAGTCATCCGTTAACTCACCCGGTTGTCTTTTTTTCCATCTCCTGCCCCTCCCCAATTTACTGAACCCTATTCTGTCAGCGTCCAAAAGGACAGTGAAGGATGGGGCTCTGGATCAAATTTGTCACCAATCGTAGACTGACCAGCCGCACTACAGAGGAGGAAAGACTGGAGCTAGGCAGAGCTTTCTGTCCCAGTCTCATTAAACACAGGCTGCCATGTTGCAGACCTATCGGCTCGACTCACTAAGTGAACACACACCTGCAGTAGAAACGAGCCCACTGTCAACACTTTGTGCATGCTGCGTATGCATGGACACTTTGTGTTGAAGACATTGACGTTTTATTTAACTGCCTTTTCAACCTTCCTGGCTTTGGATTTTGATTTAAAGGAGCTGTACCGTGCAATTTTAAACCTTCCAGAGCGAGTACAGGCCCATATATGAATAAAATATTACCGTGGCACTATAGACGTCGTTTGTTCTGAGATATAGGTTCCTTTCTTGAGAAATCCTTTCAAATTATAAATTGGATTTGATGAAATCCCTCCCCCACCTGTGTGAATTCAATCAATTTTTCGATGTAACCCTAGATTCCCAGCAAAGCATCATGGAACATGAAGAAGACGGTGAACAAGAAAGTGGCTTATGCTGCCTACACGCCAGCGGCATAAAAACCGCAACATTTCCTGGTGGCTTGGCCACTGAACTGGCACGCTTGTCGATTTGCCAATGGCCATGTCCGTCATTTGGAGGGGTTTTTGATGAGGAAATTGTTACTCAATAAATTAGACTGATACTCTATTAAGAACTTCTCTTTTATTCCGCCATGACACCATCCAACTCCCGCACAAAAAGGGGATTCCTCCGGAAACAACCACACACTTTCAGAATAAAAGCATATATGCCAACAGGACATTTGTTTAACATAAAAGCATTATTAACAATCTCACCTATCCTTTTAAAAGAAATTATTTTTATCACTTACACCTATAAAGATGTGCTCTTTCAAAAACAAACAAAACCAACTGACTGATATATGAGACCAGATAGGTTTAATACTTTTTTTTTAATTCAAAAGTCCGTTGTCCTTCACTCAGCGTTTTCAGTGGCTGAAAGCAGGATGCCCCCTTTTTTGTGAGACAGTCTGCAAGTTGAGCTTTGGCGCTGTGCCACAACACTTGCTCAACCTTTTGGGTTTTAATGAGCTCCCTTATGCTGCTCATTTCAAGGCAAAGTCTTTTTTCAGAGACCGACTTCGTTGACTTGAGTGCGTCGACAAGAGAATGGTTGTCTGTAATACAGATTATGGGGACAGCATGTTTTAAGTCTCCAGTTGTCAACTCTGAAAACAATGTAGACAGGAAAAGTGCATTATCAATTCCATCAGACATTTCCAGTGTTTCGCCCGCTAGTGTGCTCCGTACAACTCTCTTAACTCTTCGTGACTGCCAGGAGAGTGGTGAAAACTTTCCATCCTTCCCCATGAGGACAATTAGATGTCCTCCTTGTGTTCCTCCGTCGGGAAGATTTCAAGAAGCATCACTGAACACAGCAATCTTGAGATCGCTGTCTCTGCCCAGTTGTCCAAAGTTCAAAGTTACACTGTCTTCAACTTGCACACTACTCTGTTAGTTTCATGAATTGTGTTCACAGTTGCATCCTTCATGCTTGACGCCAACATGCTTACGTCAAACATTATATCTGGCCTGGTTTGTCTTGCCACCCAAAGAAGCTGACCCAGTTTGGATCTGAGTTGATCCTTTTCTCCTGGTAGGAGAAGTGACTCTTGTTGTACAGTGCATTGGGGGTCCACATGTATGGGCTGCAGTTGCTGGATGTAGGTTTCCTGGTGTATGTGTACCTTTTTGTCAATAGTAACAAAATCCATTCCCACATAACTGAAGTTGTTCTGCTCTTCACGGCCAACTTGAAATGCAGCTCTTAGCTGGGGTATCACTGTTGAAGAGAAGCTCTCTGTTCCTCCCCAAATGAAGTCATCCACATGACAAGCAAGTACTCCAACAACATTGCCTTCTTGACCCGTCCAAAAGAAAACAGCAGGGTCAACCTTTGATATTTTTCTTCCAAGTCTTTGTACAATCTCCTTTACATGATTGTCCTTTTCTTCTTTAAGAAATAAATCAAGTTTTCAAGTAATGTCTGCATTTCGTCATCTTCATTCAAATCATCCACCGATATTTCCATCGCGACTTCTCTTGCTCTTCCAGATAGTGCCAACGCCACCGCGAGTGCTTGTTTATTTTTCTCCAAGTCCATAACCTGAATCCAAATGGCGACTTCATTTTTCCAGCTTTCATAGGACTTATTTTCATTGAAGGCTGGTGGGACTCTGTAGTTGTTAACCATCCTCTGCTACCAATGTTACTCAATAAACTAGACTTCTCTTTTATTCCGCCATGACACCATCCAACTCCCGTACAAAAAGGGGATTCCTCCGGAAGCTACCACACACTTTCAGAATAAATGTATATATGCCAACAGGACATTTGTTTAACATAAAAGCATTATTAACAAAGAAGGATCTTTAGTATTTATTTTTCTTAAATTTCTTGTAGCTTATTAATTCATCATTTTCAGCTTTCTCCTTGGTTTAAATCTTCAAAGTTTTAACAAAAGTCTAACAGAAAACTAGTTTGCAAGCAGAAAACTTTAAGAAATAAAAATAAAGGCATTTCTAGATATAGTACACAATCATTAGTGATATTTGTTGACAGCAGCAGAGTACTGAGCCCTCTGAAGATCTTGTAGTTACGTATGCCACACCACTATGCTGCTGAGTGTAAACACTTTATCTTCTGGATCTGCTGGATTTTCAGTGAAAGCCTCTCTCTGCTCATTTGGTGCTCAGTCACTGTTTGCTACAGCTCCTCTAGGAAACCCACTTTTTTTCTGTCTCTGAGAGAAGCTGAAATCATTCTCCCAGATCCCAGACTAAATCGCACCACTTTTTCATTCCAAGAGTCAACTGCAGGTGACTCGCTCCATATTTTTGGACTCAGTTGCTGATTTGTGTTGGCAAGGCTGGCTGGGTATGCCGTGGATTTTCATTACGCTTCATCCTACTTACAATATGTCCATGGCAAATATTTGTTAAAACATGTTTTTATAGACGTATGAAGTCCTTCTTTGTGATTTAACTGGGGAAAAGATGTGATTGAAGATGTGAAAAAAAATAGTTTTTGGCAACCTATATGAAAATCATTTTTTTTCCCCCGTTTTCTATAAAAAAAATACACCGAGCAATCTGCAGAGGTGTATGTGATCAAAGCTTTGTACTACCATAGTATTGTGGCCTCTGTTTATCCTAGCAGACAGTTCTAAGATTTTATTTTTAATCGCTCATTTACCGAGTTCAAGGATCCATCGAGAGTCTTCAGGCTACAGCTCGCTTGTGAAGAAACATTTCAGCTCCATTATGATTCAGAGTGTACTTCAGAGCTCATTGATTTCTTGCCTTGAAGTATTTTTTTGCTTCTTCAAGCATCTTCAGACGCATTTCTGCTAATGTAGGCTCATCCTTGGGGAACAGAAGCCAAAATTCTGAATAGTTTAATTACAAACTACATTAAGTAACTTAATATTCTGTTTTTTATATTAAAAACTTTCACATTTCTCTAAGTAAAGTCACCTGAATGTGTCATGATGGTTACAGTCAGCTGCTCTGATTGATTCCCCACCCCCCCCACCCCCCCCCACCCCCCTCCCCCCCCCCCCCCCACCCCCACCCCCGTTCTCCAGCAGCCTCCACCCGATACCACATTTTAATGTTTCCGCCTGTCAAGCGAGCCGGGATGAGATGTAGGCTGGATATTGTTTTGCTGTGGAGGTTTGAGCTGTTGTGTTTCCCATAATTGAACATAAGACTCTGAGTACAGCTCACAGGATGATGGTAATGCAGCAAGCAAAGCAAAAAGAGAAGAAAAAAACATTTTCATTTCTCCCTCTCCTTCCCCATTTGAGTTTTCTTCCTCTCTTTTCTCAGAGCTGCTGTTTCTCAGCTCACACCCGTTCTGCTCCTTCGCCACATCACACAGCTGCTCCCACCTTTAGTCAGCAGAACGATTCATTGACCTTTAATGTTATCAGGGTTTGTGGAGACATTTTGAGGTGTGAACAGATGCAGCCGTCACACTTTAGGAGGAATGGTGGTCCAGATATTTCAAACCACAAACAGTTTATTCTTCCTGTGGATTTTTCTCAAAAATGAGAAATATTTCTCAAAACTGACAAGATGGAGTCCTTACTTCTACATGATTAAGAGTTTGAGTTTTGCTTTGACAACAGCAAAAGATGAGACAGGGAGTGTTAATGTGGTGTAAAAATAAAGGACAACTCGCACAGGATCAGTTTAAATAGATGTAAGCCCATTTCACTATCAGAACTTACGGGTTATTTTACTGGACCTTTGTGGCATGCACGTCTCCATTTCACCGCTCCGACCAGAAAGAACCCATCATCAGACCATTTTCAGGAGCCAGTGGAGTACCTGACCTAGGGTAGGTAGTCGGAAAGGCCCGCTGGGCAGGACTTGGTGTTGGCCCATGCTGATTGGTAGTAACTTGGTAGCAACAGGCATTTGAAAAATTGGAATGGAATGATTGAGGCTGCTTTAAAATAGTTGTTTCTTAGCTATCAACGCAGAAACATGTAGCAGAAATCCCTCAACGCCAGAAATGACAGCGCCTTGCATTCTCCTACAGAACTCTGTAAAAATGGTGCTTATGCTGGTCATTAAACGGTACTTTTTATGTCACACCGCTGCTCTCCCAGTCCCTGAATGGATTAAATTACAGCATATTTCCACAGAATAAAACATTTAATTGTTGATAATGTCTGTGGACACCTTTTGGTGCTGACCAGTGACCTCACTCACAGCCTAAATGGTTATGACAGGCTGACGTCTTAGCAATGGGCCGATTTTGTATGGAGACCCAATAGCTGAGAGGACTGAGCCTTCGTATTTTCCCTGTCGCCTTCCCCTCTCCAGGAATTTTGCAGAACTCCCATAGTGGAAGCACGGCTAATGAAGCTGCTTTTTGATTGGTGGTTACAGAGTTCCCACCAAATAGTTCCCGAGCTAAGCCACAGCTGCAGCTCACCGCTCCCCACGAGGATGGCTCCAGTGTGGAGATGTAATTTCACCAGTGTGTGATGACTGATGGGACTTTAACTTTACCTCCGTGCATGCGTTTGTCTTTTTAGTGTTCCTGCCGAAAGGACATGGTGAAGATCTCGATGGACGTGTTTGTGCGCTCCCTACAACCGGATCGCTATGACCTTTGGAAGCAAGGCAAAGACACTACAGTGTTGGACCACCTAAAGCCCACGGAGCTGACCAGTCCTGAACTAGAGCTCTGGAGGCAGCATCGGGTCACCTACCGGCAAAATCTCCTGCAAAGGTAGGAGGTCAAATGAACTATTCAGAAGGGGGCATATTGAATTAAATCCATCATTTTAAAGCATCGGGATGACTTGGCTCTTTACATTTCAGAGCAATGCGCAAGATGAGGCAGGTTCGCCGTCTGAAGATAGAGGAGGTGAAGGTGCTGGCAGAGGAGGGAATAGAGCTGAACGCTGCTAATTACCAGCGTCAGGTGGAGGAACGCGAGGCTAGGCGCAAGAAGGAGAAGGAGGAGCGTTTAGCCAGAGAGGCCATGATGACCCTGGAGGCTATGGAGCGTGAGGAACAAGAGGCTGCAGCAAAAGCAGCAGAGAACCCCTGGGGTGAGGAGGAAGCTAAATGTTCATTTAATTAATTGTTTAACCACTTGTTTTTGAACCATTTCTCTCACTTTTCTTTCACAGCAAAAGAACCAGAAGTCAAAACACAGAACTTAACCGAAGACATTGAGAAAAAGAAGCAGAAAAACCTGAAGAGAATGTCCAACACCTTCTTGTCGGGATTCGAAGAAGCATTTGAGCAGTTTGCTACTGGTGGTGTCGAAAGTTCAAAGAGCATGGCTATCGACAGCCTACCTCCAGTACACAAGGAGGTCCCAGCAAACACAAAACTGGACACAGCCACCCCCCAGGTGAGGGTTAATTTGTGTACGCATGCTTTAAAACCAAAAAATCTATTGAGACTAAATGGTTTGTTTCTCTAGTCGAGTTACTCCAAGATGAAAATGCCAACAGAGGTGAAGAAGAGCCGGCGCCACCCGCTCAGCAAGCCGCCCACGCGCACCCCTCTATCAATCGTCAAGCATGACCCGACCGCCGAGAAAGGTGTGTGCTTTTTATGTCAGCGAGCGTTTAACATGACTGCACTGAATATTTCTGTTTGAAACATCATAATTTTTTATACAAAAGTTGGGAATGCCTCCCATTTGGATGTAGTTTAGTTCATCATCATATTAAATGTAGGGAGTCGGATACAGAAATATCCACGCTTTGACTTTTTCAGTTCTTGGCTTCAGCACACTTAAAACATCGACAACAGCCTCCTTTTTGTTTGTTTATCTTATTGATCTGGGGAAGAAAAAACGAGCAGGACTGAAGCTCCCTGTAGGAAGAATGAAATCAAGATGCCAGGGCTTCCTTTCCCTCCCCCGCCCTTTTCTGTTTTCCTTTCCAATTTTTGACTGACACTTATTGATCTGGAGATCATGACTTCCAATTACCTGCTTTCAAAGTCACTTTAGGTTGGTAGCCGGGGAGTGACTCCGCCTGTCCTTCATAAGGGTGGATGGTGGGAGCGGGGGAGGGGGAGGGGGATGAAAAAGATGAGTGTGAATCTTGTGAAAAGATCCCTCTGACTTTTGTTTAGGCCCAACAAACTGTGTGGATCAGTAGCTCGAGGGCTGCGCTGCACAATTGATTCTAACCTAGAAAAGCAAATTATTGATGCCACTTGTTCATCACCAATTATATCGGGGCCGGCGGGCGTGTTGCCCCGGAGCAGCGGGAGCTATTCAGGTTTCTTTGTGAGGGCTTCCTCTGGAAATATTCTAAAAAGACTTTATATGCCATTTAGTGAATAAAAAGCATTACTGAAAGTGAATGTTTTACCATCTCCAGTTCCGCTAATGAGCTCATTCACTGCCAACCATTTCCTGATCAGAAAAGCCCTTAGTTGCCAGCGTTTTTTGGTGTTTTTACAGTTTTTTTAAGAGTCACAGAACGTTGCGCTCTAGTATGATGTCAACGCCAAAACTAACAAAATAAAGAGTAGACTCACCTCTCACATCAGGAAGAATCTGTGCGTTTTGAGCGTTTTTCGTTCTTTCATAATCCGTTGTTGAATTGTGATCAGCAGAAGCTTTTCTGGTTCTCGCCTCACTTTTTTTTTTACAGCAGCGACCCAAAACAGTCTCCTAACACATGGATTTTCTGCTTCCTGATCATGTGACGTGTGACGTACGCGGATGAAGATCGACTTTAGAGCTGGGATGTTTGTTTTCACGGTGCGGGGGCTCGTTCCAACGCCCACACAGTAATAAAATGCAAATGCGTCATTGGCAGTGAATGGTTGGATTTACAATGGCGACTTTTGTTGTCAATAGCAGTTAATAAGTTAAGTGATGATGGGTTTTTATCGCAGTGCTTGTGTTCACTTTTATTTTTAACATTTACAGACATGGCTTCTCCAATGACGATGGACAGCGACATGAAGAAACAGGAGCACCTGTGGCAGAATCAGTCCCCTAACTTCTTGGCAGAGATATCCTTCAACGCTGCGGTGGCTAGCCTTCAGCCCTACTGTGCTGTCTGCTCAATTTTCTGTCCTTACACAAAGGTACACACTCATTTTCAGCACACACACTTGTTTAACCCTTTCATTCCTAACATGTAATTTATCTTTTTAGGGTTCCAAGCCCAACGGGCAGGGTTAGGGTTATGCGTTTCAGCTATTAGCTCCCAAACCATAGGTCCTACAATCAAACACTTTATATGTGCATGATCCTTGGATGATTCTGCATGTCGTTTGTATTGGCCACGCCCATTTTCGCCTAACTAGATTTTTTGCTGGATCGCAAAAGCACTAAACTTATTTTTAATCACCAATCCATCAATTTTCGTTGAATCAACTTCAAGCTTTGTACATATGATCTATAGACTAAGCTAAGTCGTTGTGATGAAGAAAAATGCGGAAATATTAAAAATTGGGCTAATGACACCATGTCAAATTCAGTGCGCTAGCTAGCACATGTCCTAATTGATGATATTTCCACAATTTTTTAGGTTAAGATAATGAGACTTTAGACTCTTACAAAGCATGAGCTTTTTGGTTTGATTCACCAATAGGGGGCACTGAAGAGTCAAAAAGTTTGTTTCAGAGAAACGGCTTGATGGATTTCCACAGAACTTGGCACAGATGTTTATCATCAGACCCTCAAGCTATATTTTGAAAATGATGAAAAAGTGGGCGTGGCTTGTAGGCTTTAAAAATTGTCGCCCTTTTACTCTTGAAAAATATATTTTCTATACAAAAATTTACAGTTCATATCCGTAATAGTCTCATCTACAATCACAGAGAAAAAATTAAATTTAGTCCAATAGGTGTCGCTGTTATACCCAAACAATATTTTTGGCAATGTTTTCCCCATTTCTTCAGTTAAAAAACAAATGATCTTATCCTGTTTGTTCACTGAGTCAGTCAAATTTAGATGAGTATTTTGAAAAAAAATGTAAACTTATGCAAATTAGTAGAAAATTTCATAGCAAGTCAAACGTACTTTCGTTAACTCCTCCCGGCCGTCAAACACAATCAAATCAAAACTTTGCCTGACAAGAGGGGAAGAACGGCTGACCAAAATTTATGGACAGATTTTTGAAATTTTATTTATTTTTGGAAATACGACTTTTTAAAATAATTTTCTTTGAATGAAAAAGTTTTTTTTTTTGGTATAACTTTAAAAGATTTTGACCTTTTTCAAAGCTTTTCATATCAACCGTACCCAAGGTCAATTCAAGTGTATGTTGATTTTCAGCTTGATTCAACAATAGGGGGCACTATAAATAGAAATAATTTATACTTCTGAACTGGCTAAATGAATCTGCGTGAAACTTAGTGGTTGTCATTATATAGTCTTAGGACTACAATATTAATATAGTAATGTTCAATCAAAGTGGGCGTGGTTTATGATTGTTTAAAATTTCAAATTTGAAAAAATTCCTATAAATCATTATTTGCATGTAAGAGCCAAATATTTTTAGGTTATATTAACTGCATAGCCCTGAGTTCATATCACGAAAATCGCAGCTCCATGAAGAGGTTTGCTCTTTATATTTACGAAAATGCATTTTTAGGCTAGCAATTGTAGCACAAATTCCGTTATGGCAATCTTCTTGAAATTTTTCACAGAGTTCACTGTTAGGTGGTTTATGAAACACATAAAATGTAGTCTTGATTTGAGCACCCCCTTGTGTTTAATATTAGAATTTATTTTTATACCCCCTTGTGTTTAATATTAGAATTTATTTTTATGGACAGCCACTAATGCAAATATTATTTTATTGTTAGAAAAGTTTAACATTTATGATCCTTATAAACATATAAGCAGAAGTCTCACATCAAAAAGGTAATCTAGAAATATTTTTACATTTTTGTACAAAAGCTTCGATTTTTAATGAATTTTTTACTTTATGCCAGTTTTTCTCTATAGTTGGATAAAAAAGTAAATCATTTTTGTTAAAATGTTTTTTACGTATACAGTAAATATAAACCATTTATAACATTCCACATGTACCTATGGTGATTTGACATTTTTCTACTAATTTTAGAAAGTAGCAATATTTTTTAATGAATATTTTAATTTTGGGCGTGACCCGTAAAATTTTATATTTACCAATTTTTCTTCAAAAAAGCTTTGAATCTACTGATTTAAAAACAACAGCATTGCATTCCACAGGTTAACATTGCCATGTGAGAATATTTAGGTGATTTTATGATGATATATGGATTTTTCAGGATTTTTTAAATATTATTTGGTCAGTAAGTCACAAAATGAAACTCATAGTTTTTGTTGAAATTTTATAAAATCTAGAAACATTATCAAGTATTATCGTTATTCCCAATATTGTTTTGATGTATAGATTATTGTTTGATAATCTTTAGATAAAATATGGATTTTATATTTAAGTTTTTATTTCGGTCAGTTTAATTATACATCTCAATATATTTATTTTTTGAAAAAGGATTTAATTTAGAAACAATAACATTACAAAAACTGATTGGTCATGACCCAAGAATATTTTGGAAATTTCTTTAAAAAGAATACATTTTTAATGAATTTAATAAACATTGTCAGTAGTATTGAAATGGTACATGACCTGCATTTGTACAGCGCCTTAGTAGGGTTAAACAACCCTCCAAGTCGTTAAACAACACAATCAGTCTTTCACCCATTCACACACAGTCCACACACTGGTGGGCATGACCTACACTGTAGCCACAGCTGCCCTGGGGAGCACCAAGAGACGAGGCAGTATTCTCTGGTCAGAGTTTGGATCAAACCTTCAACCTTCCGATTACTGGAAAATCCACTCCACCTGCTGAGCTACTGTTGTCCCATGCAGTACATGACTCAATTGACTAAATTTCCACGATCTTTAGAAATTAAACGATTAAAATTAAAAACGCCTGCAGGAGTCTTTCATCCATTCAATCACCCAGGCACACGCTGATGGGAATGAGCTACAATGTAGCCACAGCTTCCCTGGGGGTGCACTGAGAGGCGAGGCAGCATTTTCTGGTCAGAGTTGGGATCGATCCTTCAACCTTTTGATTACTGCACAAGCCGCTCCACTTCCTGAGCTAATGCTGTCCCATGCAGCACATGACTTCACTCAATAAATCTTAACGTTCTTTAATAAGGAAACAATGGAATTTGATTGTAATCACGATTGAGAAGTCAGCCATGCCTATGAAAGATATGCGTATAGGCTGTGCAAAAGGTTTAATGACGTATCCTGAGTGTTCCTTTCATTGCGCCGGTTGAAGTGAGCTGACGGGACGCCAGCAGGAGATCATGTTTTTGGGGCGGGGCCACGTGAGGAATGGCAAAGGGGAGGGCGGGGCCGGGTGTGGGAATGGCGCTGGTTGGCTTGGAACCCATTGATAACTGCTTGCAGTTCTAGTTTTATTATTCTTATTATTTTTTGGCTTCCTTTTCCAACCACTCAAGTCCTGGAAGGACCGTGCCATCGCAGCTGATGCCTCGGACGCCGTCCCGCCGCCTCGGCACGGCAGCTTCACTTGCCCTCTGGTCCCAGAGATGTGCTTCAGTGTTGGAGCCGGAAACACAGAGCCACCGCCATCCAACTGTCTCATTGGAGAAGACGGGACCAGTCTTCTGATCTGCTGTAAAGACTGTAACCTGCAGGTTCATGCCAGTAAGTATCCACGCACAACCCTGCATGCTATAAAACTTTCTTGTGGTTGGAGCTGCATTTCATTCCAAATGTAGTCTTGATATCAGCCTGCTAGTTTTAGACAGACTCCACTGGGCTTCTCGCCACTTTCTGCCTTCTCAGCTTTGTTCCCCTCAGAAGAGTTAGAAGTAAAAAAGGCAAAACACTGACTATGAGATTTGACTGCAGCTCAGTTTTTCTGTTTTCTGCTCTCATCAAGGTTTTCTGGTTCAACTCAACAGTTGATTCAAATTGAACCGGGTTGTGGTTCTTTTAGGAATGCAGATGTTTCTATAAAGTGTTCACCCACAGCAAAACAAGTGTCAATCATGCCCGTCTTATCCTGTCTGCACTTGGCTTCAAGGTGCTATAGCGAATTTACAGAACAACCTTGGTTTTGAACGTGAACACAGTCCCGACACACTCACCCATGCCCTCCCATGCCCTCAGGTGTTTTACCTGAGACACTTCTGTTGGAACCAGAAACCCACGATGATGGATGAAACTAGAATGCTAAACACCAGTCGCTGTTTTCTACCTCCAAACGTCTTTTATTGTCTGTGACTTCTAATGGTGTATTTCTTTTTGGGACTCTGGTAGTTAGTCCTAAGGCAAGGCAGCTTTATTTAAATGGCACATTTCATACACAAAGGCAATTCAATGTGCTTTCCATTAGCAAGAACATTAAAATTAATGTGACAGAAAACACATTTAAAAAATGAAAAAGGAACTAAGTGAAAGGGTGAACAGTTACAGTGCAGAAGGTGCAGCATGTGAACATTTGTTCAAAGGCTGATGAAAACATGGTTTTCAATGTTGATTAAAACGTTTCCAGAGTTGGGTCACATTTGAGGTCAAGAAGAAGCTGATTCATTCTGTGTGCAGCATTGAAGCTAAAAGCAGCTTCACCTGTTTGGTTCTGATCCAAAGTTCTACCAGCTGACTGCTTCTTAAGGCTCTCACCTGAAGGAGTTCCAACATGTATTTTGGCCCCATGCCACTGAGTGGTTTATAAACTAAAAGTACTTTGAAATTGATTCTGTAGTTTACTGGTAACCAGTGTAGAGATTTAAGAACAGGAGTGATGTGCGTGGTTCTCTTGGTTCTTGTTAAGGTTCTAGCAGTGGTAGCAGCCGTCTGTTTCTCCCTCTCCGATATTATCAAGCGGAGAACCTCTCACACCAGTGGCGTTCTGTTGCTAAATACATGAGTGTGTAATAGGTGGAGGACCCAGGGAAGTGCAGTGGTTCAGCGAGACCGACAACAGGATGGTCCAATAGTTGCTTTCCATCCTAACTGTGTTATTGGTAAATGTTTTCAAATGTGAGAGAACCACTTTATTAATTTTTGGTTTTATTTTTTGTTGCTCTAAAATGTATTTATAGCTATAAGATGTTAAAACGTTGCCATTGCAGCTTTCAGTCTGAAATCTTAAGATCAGTTATTTAAACTCATCAGATTTAGTGTTTTTTGGGCAAATTAAAATGTAAGCAGATAATATAAATAAGTATATAAATTAGTAAGTATTAAATAAAAAAAGCTGTGTTTTGTACTTGTCTGGATATACGAACACATAAATCACAAATGGTAAGTCGCACGCACGCACGCACGCACACACACACACACACACACACACACACCGGCCCTCCTGGGCTCTTATTATCCCTAAAGCTGGCCTGCACCTTCAAGGCCAGTTCATTAGTCATCCAGAGAAGCTGCTGAAACAGCGCTGTTATTGATAAGAGGGCATGAAGCAGAAAGAGCTCCTGTCAGAGATGCCAGTTCTGCATCCCATGCCTCTGCTCCTCAGTGTTCAGGAGAGAACCTCAACCTAAAAGACCGTTTAAACATCCGGGTGTGGCTCAAATTGGAAGCAGGAGTGAGAAGATCAGACAAGTTGTTAATAAAAAAAGGTGAACAATTGTTTTGACGGGTTTGAAGCCAAAGCGTGCTGAAATCAGAACACTTAAAGGTTGAGTGGATGTTGAGACTGGATCTAATATTATCATTTAACAAACAGGTTGAAATGTGAGAATATTAATAAAGATTTGTTTTGTTTGTTGCAGGTTGCTATGGTGTGAACCCCGACTCTGTCAGAGGCCGCTGGGCGTGCTCCAGGTGTGCAGCTGGAGCCTGGACAATGGTGAGTGGAAGCCAGAGTTGATGCTCACTATTGTTCAGTCATTTTTTCAACATGAAGCAATGTCAGAACAAACAATCCTACCACTGCCTTGTAGTTGGGCCTTCTAGTCAGTAGCAGATTTCAGACTCGTACCCAGAGAGGCTTTTTAAGGAATATGATCTTCTCAAATAGTAAAATAAGTGGATGGACTCCTGGAGATCCAGAAAAACGGGTAATCTGATGGTTGAATGGTGGAGTTCGAGCTTGTATCCTTCTAATTTTTTCCCCCTTAAGGACTAATGAGAGGTTCACTTAGGGCAAAACACCATTCACTGGCTTGAGTGTCAGAACATTTCTGAGCTTCTTAGAGAATAGCTGATGTCACCACAGTGGCTTTTTCCCCTCTCTCCTGATGAAACAGGTCAGGGGCCGTAACCTTTGAATTGTAATGTGCCTGGATCAAGACACTGATAATGGCTGACAGACACCTTCACTTCTGCAGTAGTTTACAGGAAGTAAAGCTTTGGCCAACATGAAACCAGTAGAGTGATGCTGTTTTTTCTTAAATAAGTAATAAGAGTAGAAGGGGTTCGTGACAGAAACCAGGCAGGTTTATTCTGTGAACATGTTTGTAAGCCTTACACGGCTCTGTGATTCTGTGCCTAAACTCTTGTGGGGTTTTCAGGCGTGTTGTCTCTGTAACCTAAGAGGAGGAGCTTTGAAGCTTACCACTGACAACAGGTGAGTGCTCAGATATTTATCTGCATCTTTATTATTTTTTTCTTCTTATCAAATTCTGCTGATGTCTCCATGGTGTCCACCTCTGTCTCCAGGTGGGTCCACGTCATCTGTGCCATCGGAGTGGCAGAAGCTCGCTTTGTCAACGCCATCAAGAGGGAACCGGTGGATGTGAGCGCTGTCCCAGAAACCCGTAAGAATCTGGTAAGTTCAGGAAATCACGGGAGAGATTTACGTGTTGTTACGTGATGGAATGGGACCAGTTAGGAGGTCAGCACAAAAATCCAGTCAGAACATCTGTCTGTAGCCCCGCCCACCTCAGCGGTTTAATTTCTGTAGCTTCCTCTGCTCCTCCGGTCTTTTCCTACGCTCAGTCAGATTGCTTTCTTTCCTCTTCATGGCTTCTGTCACTTTCTCCGTTCCCCTCCTTCCTTTCCTGGCGGATAGATAGATTTTTTTAAAGTGAGAAGTGGCGTAAAACAGACGTGCTGAGGGGAATGGCTGAATAATCAGCTGTCATTTCTCACTGCGCCAAATGAACTGCATCGATCCCGTGGGTTCGAGGCAATTTCCTGATTGCTGCCGCATCTTTGAACACAACTTGTTCCGGGCTTTTCTTTTCCTCGTCTTTTTTTCCCTTCTTCTTGCCATCCCTCGTTTCACAGTCTCTGCAGCACAACGAGTGATATCAGTGCTCACTGGTACATTATCACAAACTCGCAAATAATGTCACCTCTCTCCCTCCTCTTCTCTCTGAATAATCTATCAAAGACAAGCTGGGTGACATTTGCATTGGAGTGCTGTCAAAGCAGGATTCTTCCACCTCTTAAGAAGCTTTGAGGAGACGCTGTGCTCCAATGGTTTGGATGCCTGGGCTGATCAAATGTGAACGTGCACCCATGGAAACCGTTTATATTGGAACATGTTCGGCAATCAGTACTTCCTCCCTCCTACCTGTGAATAAGTGGCTCTCAGAGATGAAGAGTTTTCACACAAGTTATATATTTTTTTTTAGTTATTTTGAAATTTCTCAGCCACTAAAACACTGTCCAGTACCTTTTAAAGTAATTGTTACAGATTCAGTTTTGTTGCTGCATTTTCTGTTTAAATGCCAGAAGTTTCGAAGCTGCAACTTCCCCAGAACATCACCGAGAACGGTTGTTTGATCAGTTCTTCCAAATGCTCTCAGAAGAAAAGTTTAGTCTTAAAGTTTTCAGACTTTTAATTTTAACATGGTAACTTAGGTTGGTGTGGGGAATTGAATCGTACTGATTAAAAAATCTTCTGACTTGCTTTGAGGCACAAAAAATACCCATTATATTGAAGTGAAAGGGTCAAAGCACATCTCCCGCTGAAAATTCTGTTCTATAACTACACCTGCTTCACTGCAGCTGCATAAAAACAAGCACAGAAATATACGGCATGCAAAAAAAAAAATAAGCAAAAAAGATATGAAGTGAAACAAATGCATGCAGAAAACAGAGATGCAACATTAAAAATGTTTGTCAGGAAAGAAGTTCAAAGTAGTTTAATGTTTCCACAACAGATCTCTGCCCGATAGATTTCTTCTAGTGAGCAGATTTGGTGTAAACCAACTTCTCTACTGACTAAATGTAAAAACTCACCAGCAGGATTCAATAAGACGACATAAACAATTATCTTGTTGCTGCTTCGGTTGTATTTTATGTCTCCGTCTGGCTGAGATCTTATCGAGGGAAAACTGAACCCACTGATAGAAAACATGGCCGCAGGTGGAACATTTATGTTGCACCAGATCAAAATAAAGTATCAACGCGGTAACAATAATAACAATAGCACCTCCTGAATATCACTTTGCAGCAGCTGGACACAGTGATGTTTTCATTTTTCAAACAAGGAACAACATTGAAGGGGAGATAGAAGGTGAGCAATCAGAAAGACAAGTGTCGGAAAGTCATCATAGATTCAAATTAGTACATAGAAAATTAGCGTTTGTATTTACTTAAAGGAGCAATATGTAAGCATTTTACAGTGAAATAACCACAAAATAGTCTATTGTCTCAATTATGTTTGAAGGAAGGTTACATTGAAATAGATTTTCTTCAGAGCCGGCTGGGCAGTTGTTGTTTATTTTCCTTAAAAAAACAAAAACAAAGAGGGTTTCCGAAGTGTTTAATATCCAAAGCCAGTAACAGGAGCAACCCAGAATAGGCAAACATTGAGCTGACAATGCTAATGGTGAACTGGAAACAAATGGTCAGCTCTAAAAAATGTCAAGCTACTTTTTCAATTACCAACAACTTGATATTACAGCTAAATTGTTTTATCTACTTTTTAACTTGCTGTGTATGACTCGTCTTTGCTCATCTTCTTGAATCTTCCGATGCTGACAACAGCCATGAAACTCATGAACAGAAGTGAGAAAGGGACTTGTTTGTTTTGAAAATGAACAGCAGTAACCAAATGTGACCACAGGATGGCCTCCTTACTTTATTCTTACGTAATGCACCTTTAATAGAAGGTAAAGCTGCAAGTAATAAAATATTTTATGATTAAAGAGTGGAATTCAGCCTTTTTCCTCTAGCTATCCCTTTTGTCTCTAAGATTTAGGTTTTTTTTTTTTTGTTTTTATTCAGGTACCAAATGTCTACTAATAAATGAGCCGTTGATGCTGCACCCACTTATGATTTAAACAGGTGTTTGTCTCATATGGAAAACAAAACAGTCATTTTATTTATTTTTATTACAGAAATGTGTGTTCTGCCACACAAAGAGCCCAAGCCAGAATCGTGGCGCCTGCATCCAGTGCACATACGAGAACTGCGCCACTTCCTTTCACGCCACGTGTGCTCAGATTGCTGGGGTGATCATGAAACCTGCAGACTGGCCCTATGTGGTGTCCGTCACCTGCCACAAGCACCAAAAAAGTCCCACCCACAGGGCTCCCATTCAAAAAGTTCCTACACAGAAGGTTCCTACCCAGATGGCACACACTCAGAAAGTTCCCACCCAAAAGGTTCCTATCCAAATGGAACCCATCAAGATGGGAGCCACTCAGAAAGTTCCTACCCAGATGGTACCCATCCAAAAGGTTCCCGCCCAGAAGGTTCCGACTCAGACTGAACCTATCCAGATGGCACTCACTCAGAAGGATCCTATCCAGAAGGTTCTTACCCAGAAGGTTCCTACGCAAAAGGTTCCCATCCAGAGGGTTCCCACCCAGAAGGTTCCTACCCAGATGGGACCCACCCAGAAGGTTCCTACTCAGAAGGTTCCCACCCAGAAGGTTGTCCCCCAGAAGATTCCCATTCAAAAGGTTCCCACCCAAAAGATTCCCACTCAAAAGGTTCCCACCCAAAAGATTCCCACTCAAAAGGTTCCCATCCAGAAGATTCCCACTCAAAAGGTTCCCATCCAGAAGGTTCCCACTCAAAAGGTTCCCATCCAGAAGGTTCCCACTCAGAAGGTTCCCATCCAGAAGGTTCCTACTCAGATGGGATCGACTCAGAAAGTTTCCACCCAGAAGGTGTGTGTGTGTGTGTGTGTAAACAATTATTTAAGGAAATATTGATGATTTTTTTATATTTTCAATCATGTTTTCATTTTTTTTCTAAAAATGAATTAAAACGGAAGTATATAAACGTACTTTTAGCCTGTTTTAAGGGACGGTTTGATGTAACGCCTGTTTGACTATAGACAGCTGCCACCCTTTGGATGTATTTTGTAGCTTCTAATTAGAACAGTTTTGCTTTACACTCAGATACTGAAGATGTGCTATGTGATTTTGTTAATTACAGAGTAACTCCTAGTACATGTTAAATATCACTCCTGCTGTTTTTTGCTCCCTTTAGCTTCGAGCGGCACCTAAAGCCCCTCCAGTTCTGGACCTGGGCCAGAAGGCAATTGGCCGTAACGTTGACGGTTGGTTCTACCACTGTACCATCATCGGCATGGCAACGCAGACATTCTATGAGGTCAATTTTGATGAAGGCTCCTACTGTGACAACGTGCACCCAGAAAATATCACTGTGAGTGTTTTTCACAGTTAAATCCACCGCTGTGTAACTCGCAGCTCCTTTATTAGAAGCATTACACATTTGTAGACTGAGCAACCTGAAAATGTAATTACTGATAAAACTGCAGATAAGCTTTAAGGTCGGTATTTAAAGTTAGCATTGAACTTAAATAATAATAAATTTGTAATTGATTTTAAAAAAACGTAGGAGTTTGAACAAATAACTAAGTGGGAAGAGAAATGAGAACTGAGCAGCTTAAACTACTTAAAATTAAACGTTTTTACTTCAGATCTCTGGAGTTCATGTTCTTCATCCGTCCTCTAAATTCCTTCTCTCTCTTCCAGAGTCACGACTGCCTACGTAGCGGTCCTCCTGATTTGGGGGAGGCGATCGTGGTCAGCACACCTGATGGACAGATCCTCAGTGCCACCTTTATCAAAGAGCACACACACAAGCTCTACCAGGTGAGGGGAAGCCGTTTACTTTTACAGGTCTTGTACGGTCAGATTCTGGGATCTAGAGTCACTATTCAGAAAAAAGGATGTCTGTTTGCAGGATTACAGTTAAATAATAATCTGGCTTGAATCAACATCTAAGTAACTCTGCTGTAGTTTATGGTTGAGCCTTATCACACAGTGTGGTTCCCATACATTTAATGCAGAAATTAACAGAATATTTTTGGAACATTCAAAGAAAGTCATGTAGAAATAAACAAAAATAAATGTAATGATGCCAGTTTAATCATGTAGAAATAAACAAAAATAAATGTAATGATGCCAGTTTAATCATGTAGAAATAAACAAAAATAAATGTAATGCCAGTTTAATCATGTAGAAATAAACAAAAATAAATGTAATGATGCCAGTTTAATCATGTAGAAATAAACAAAAATAAATGCAATGATGCCAGTTTGGTTTTTCCAATGTTGTCATCAAGCTGTTTTTGGAAAATTGTCATCAATTGAAACAAGGTCAAGGTCACATCTATTTCTAAAGCACACTTATTATTGCTTCCGCATCCCAAAGTGCTGTACAGCACAGAAGATGAAATCGCAAACAAGTATAACTAAAAACCACAAAACCATAAAAATCAGCAAGTTAGGATAAAAACAACATTACATCACACAATTATAGAATCAATAAAAATGAGAAAGAATGACAATGACAAAATAAAATCATCCTACATAAAAGCCAGGTTGAATAAATGAGTTTTAAGCAAGGACTTAGACATCCAGACTTTGTGAGGTCCTGATCTGCAGAGGAAGACTGTTCCAGAGAAACAAAGATCAGAAACAATACTTGAGGGTGCCTCTTAACCTTTCCTTAACTCATTCGCTGCCATCGTTTCTCACCGATTTATCTGTTTGTTTTCTTTAAGCGTCACAGAACGTTGCATGTTAGGATGATGTCAACACCAAAACAAAGAGGAGACTCGCCTCTTACATCAGGAAGAATCTGCGTGTTTCAAGCTTTATCCGTTCTTTCATTATCCGTTGTTGAATTGTGATCGGCAGAAGCTTTTCCGGTCACATTTTTTACAGCAGCGGCCCAAAACGATCTCCTAACACATGGATTTTCTTCTTCCTGATCACATGATGTGTGACGTATGCGGATGAAGATCGGCTTTAGAGCTGAGATGTTTGTTCTCACGGTGCTGGGGCTCGTTCCGAAGCCCACACAGTAAAAACATGCAAATGACGTCATTGGCAGTGAACGGTTGGATTTAAAATGATGACTATTCGTCAATGGCAGTGAATGAGTTAGTTGACTTTTCCACATACCCAAAATTGTCTTCGTGGTATGGCAGTAAAGATGGCAGCTGCATAGCACATTAATCCTCAGAAAAGGTATTTTGTTTTGTCAATTTCCCCAAGTGGAACATCTAGTTTATCGTTTCATTCATTTATTCATTCATAGAGCACCTTCCACAACCTTCAGCAGAAGCCCAAGGTGCTGAACACAACAATAAACAGGCAATAGAGCTCCGGACCCCAAGTGACTCTCAGTTAGTGGACGCCATTTTGGCATGCAAAAAAGGTAAACAAACACGGATGTAACCATGAACATGAACGGGATCCGCTTGGATTTTACTTCGTCTGAGTTTACTTCACACTTTAAAACAGAAGAAATCGTTTTATATAGTCAGAAATTAAATAGACTAAACATCTCCGACCCTTACCGTGCCCCTGGGATACTTTTTAAAAACGCCAGAAGTCGTAGCGGACTTCTTACCGGCACAACACCGGACCTGGCCGGGGAAACCCCTTGGGATTCCCCCGGCCGGAGGAGCTGGGGAGAAGGTCTGGGACTCTCGACTCTACTACCCGCTCCGACGCCAGAAGCTGTCGGAGCGGACCGGCACAGCACCGGACCTGACCGGGGAACCCCTTGGGATTTACCCGGAGGAGCTGGCTCCGGCGGCTGGGGAGAGGGAAGTCACGCTACTGCCCCAGCAACCCGACTCCCGATACGCGGATGAAAATGGATGGATGGACGGACAAATAACAGATTTACATGTAAGTAGTCTCGGTGACACAGATAATAGCAATCCAAAGTGCTTTTTATGTGTGATCTGATCAACCATTGCTTAAAAATTAAATACGGCTTAGCCGGTTAATTGCTGTCATCATAAGACACGTAAACGGCAGCACGCAGAACTCACGAGGCAACGTTTTACGTGATGTTTACTTGTTGCTATGAGTAATAAGACAGAAAAAGCCACGCCAAAATAAGTTTAGGAAGCCCACTAAGAATCATAATAAAAGCATTTAAAATAAACACCATACACAGTTGAGGAAACGTTGGTTTAAGTACCTGATATGAAGTGGTCGCTGCATAAGCGAAAACCTTTACTCTCGGGATCCCACAGCTTCATTTTCGCCCGGTCACTAGCGTGTTTTATTACAATGATCCAACGTTTGCGGCGCTCCGGATCTTGGGGAATCCTGTAGATGTCTCATTCCTTATGTCGTCCGCGTCTGTTCTGCATCCTGGGGCACAACAGGAATCTACCATATTTCCCGTTTGATTGAGTTTTCTGACAATAGTAAATAGTCCAGCTGCCGGCTTCTGCATGCCAATATGGCGCCGTTTCGATTTGAACTGTTGCATGCCGGGAGAAGTGACGTCAACTCCCGGAGCTCTATTGCATCAATAAAACCAATAAAAAACTAGAACTTTTTGACTCTTTAGCACCCCCTATTGGTGAATACAAACAAAATTTGGTAGATAAGGCTTACCGCTCACACTTTGTAAGGGTCTAGAGTCTCATCATTTTATCTTGAAAAATGGTGGAGATATCATCAATTAGGACATGTGCTAGCTAGCGCACTGAATTTGACATGAGGTCATTAGCCCAATTTTCAATAATTCCGCATTTTTCTTCATCACAACGACTTAGCTTAGTCTGTAGATTATATGTCCAAAGTTTGAAGTTGATTCGACGAAAAATGACGAATAGGTGATTAAAACTAAGTTTTGCGTTTTTTGCAATCAGCAAAAAAATCTAGTGAGGCGGAAATGGGCGTGGCCAATACAAAAAAGATGCAGAATCATCCAAGGATCATGTACATATAAAGTTTTTGACTTTACGACCTACGGTGTGGGAGCTAGTAGCTGAAACGCCTTCACCTCCGCAATAGCGCCACCTAGGCGAATCGAATCTGAGTAACGGTCAGGATTTTCTGTCAGACTGCCATGTCAGATTTTTCCTGAAAATTTCAGGCTCTTGCGCCCATACAGTATTAGCGGAGAAGAATAATAAATAATAAATAATAAATTAAATAATGAAAAATCCGTAGAAAAACAATAGGGCCCGTTGGGCTTGGAACCCTAATAAAAACAGTATAAAAAATACAGATGAGAATAAATGTTAAACAATTAAAATCAAGACAAAATTGCAGACCCCAGTGGTGGAAATGCCTGGACATAATAATGGGCTTTCAGACATGACTTAAAAATCTGGAAGCAAGGCGCCAGCCTAACAGTCAAAGGTAGACCGTTCCGCAAAGTTGGAGCAAGGACCGCAAATGCACAATCTCCCCTAGGTTTGCATCTGGAACGATATCATAAGTTGTATGGGGAAATGAAATTAAGGAACATAACGTCAACAGAGAAAAAAACATTCAAACTAAAGAAATGGCGACCGCGGAAGGAAGAAAACTATTGGTCCAATATTAATAGCTTGCAAACTAACATGAATGCGATCAATGGTGAAATCAAGTCAAACTATAGAGATATGAAGAAACACCTTATTGATGTGTGTGAAACAAAAACACTGCGGAATATAAAACGAGAGTTTGGTAACTTCAGAGATAGTCTGAACATGAAGCTGGATGTGATCAGGACCAAAGTGACTTACACAAGTCTGCTTCAAAAATCATGGCACCATTGGATGCGACATTGGGGAGCATTTGGTCGTTTACAAGAGGTAAGCCTGTGGCGGTCTTTTTCACAAAAAGATTACTTGGTATATGGGGTGGTCTCTGCGCTGTCAACGTACTGTCACAGGCATCTTTTTAGACACTTAAGTTTTATTACGAGTTGCTTCAAAAGGTGGTTGTCCCTCACAGTCCCCGATAACCGTCTGGTGAACTCTACCTCAGGTCTAACGGCTAGAAACTCCTAGATCTCTGCTTCACTCTAGTTTGCTGTCTCAGCTGATACTGTTTACAAATGTGAAAGGGACTTCTCGTCTTTACTCCCATTTTAAATATCGTTGACGGCCTGGGCCTGACATTCGAGACATGATTATGACATCACCATCTGCTGCACAAAGGCGTGATCTTCTTTCAAAGGTCTGGAGTTCTGGTAATATAACTATCAAGGTTGACGGCACAAATGGCGCAATACTCTCTCTCCTTGCCATGTTGCCACGGCGTTTTCAAAGGACTCACTGTGGCGGCAATATTACCCTTAAAGACCACCACAGAAAGCCGATACAGAAACCAGGATGGAAGAAGTTGGTAATACGGAGGATGTACCAGCTCCATGGTAACAGGAGCTGTTGTTGAGAAGAAAGGGAAATGCTCCACAAAGTCAAACATGTAAAATATTGAATCCAGCAGCGCTCTTGTTGTTAAACTGCAGACATGATTGTGTTTTTTGTTTAGATGAGCTGCTGCAGGTGTTGTAGCACCAAAGTCCTACCCGTAGACTCTCTTCAGAAACAACACGTTCTTTTTTCTTTTTATCGCCTTTAAAAATGTTTCTGTGTTGATTTAAAAACCAAACCCATCTCTGTCTGGTCTCAGTCTGAGCTACAGCCTCAACCTTTTCACAGAACCTTGTAAAAAACCTGTATTTATATTTAGAGTGCTTGACGAAGGCTTTTATCCAGTCGGCAAGCTGCTGTGGTTCAGTGCCGTGGTCAAGGATAATTTGACAGCAGCACAAGATTGTTGATGGAACCATTTGAGAAGTGCTGAGACAGTCGCAGGTTAAATCTTGGGCATTTCATTATTTTTCTACTCACTGAACCACCTTGGTGCCTGGTTCTTTTCATTAGTGTGAGCTTTGATATGAGATCAATGACCTTTTTATGACCAATTTAGCCTTCCAAATTTACATTTTTGTTCCCACATTAATGCACCTTATTTCAACTGCACTCAGAAGAAAATCCTTAGGAAGAAGGGAGGTGATGGGTGTTTTTTTTTATTGCATCCATTTAGGTGGAGTTCCAGGACCAAAGCCAGCTGATGCTGAAACATTCAGAGATCTATCACCTGGACCACGAGCTACCCAAAAGGGTCAGAAATCGACTGGTGAGTTTTCTTTACTTTATTGAAATTCTGCTTTTGTACAAAATTAATCTCACAATTTTGTTTAAAATCACACATTTTTTGTTTTAAAGGCTTTTTAGCCTAAGCTAGTTGAAATGCTCATTGGAGGCTACAAATAAAATGGAGAGGGAAGACTTACTTATTCACAAAATAGTTTTTTTTATTTTTATAAAACATCTTTCTGATGGTCACTGCAACCCTCCAACCCTCAATGCTCCTCCCCCTATCCACACTGAGGTGACATGCGCTGCTTCTATCGTGGCTGCAGGAACTGAAGTGGGGATAGTCCCAACCCACCACCCCACCTAGTGGACACTTATGTTGTGTGAAGTCTGTTGCATATCTGTCTGATGTGTTTTTTTGCAGAGCAAAGCTGCCCTCCCGGTGGAGGGTAGCTCTGAAGTGCCTTTTTTCCCTCCACCTGAACCAATCCTCATGTAAACCCCTCTTATCTCTATTAAGGTTGTGCGACTCAGGGTTGCGAATGACCTCAGTCACCAATTCTTGTCATGTGTCTTGCCCATGTATGTCTGATCTCTGAATTGTGTGTACTGGAACTCTAATTTCCCTCTGGGATTAATAAAGTATCGTTGATTTGATTTTGATTTGATTACAGGTCAGATATTAGTTTCTGAATTCACACATTAAACTACTGATGATAGATTTAAAGGTCCAATAAGTAAGAATTTGACAGCGAAATAATCACTAAACAGTCTGTCTCAATCATGTTGGAAGGAAGGTTACATTTAAACGGACTTCTAATCGGTTTTGAAAATGGCCCAAAAGGGGCGTGGTCTATTTTTACAATCTTTCCCACCTGCATACTTCCTGGTTCCAGAGTCAATCAATGGCCGACAGCGTACTCGTCTGGTTTGAATCGTGGACTGCTGTACCCAAATTTGACCACAAGATGTCACTCTTACTTCATGCACCTTGAAGTGGTGGAAGTGATATTTTAGCAGGACGATTGGATTCACTTCCTTTGTCATCTTCTCTGGAAGAAACTTATTGTGTCTACATGAAATCATAGAAAATGTGATAGAGAAAAAGATTTTCACCAATGGACTTCTCCTCTTGTGACTTTGAAGTTGTTGCCGTAGAGACAAGAGAATCTTCTCCTACGTAGTTTTGAGGTCATGTGCTGCATTTCTAAATCAGATGGCATCAGTAGAAGAAGTGTAGTGACAGAGGAAGTCAGAAAAAACACTTTCTGTGATTTTATGGTTTAAGATGCTGCATTCATGTCTGCCACGTCACGAGCCCATTTCTTTTTTAAATGACCGCCCATTAACAGCAAATGAGACAATAAACCAGGAATGCATTAGTGTGAGGCTCCCTTGTGATTAAGAAGTCGTTACCACATTAGAGTTCAAGAGTCCTTAGGCTCTTAGTTGAATGCATTCTTCAATTGTGATGTCTGTTTTCATTAAAAAAGGACGGAGATGGCCAAAAAGCAGATTTTTAAGGTTTTGAGATTAGGTGATGTCATGCTGGTCCCAGGGGAGAAGGAGGCGTCTGGAGGAGTTCAGAGGAAGAAAGGAGTTTAATGACCTGATGAAACCAGGAAAATTTCATTTAGCAGCTTTACATCTTTTACTCACAGACACAAGTCAGGGAACCCAAAGAGATCTGTTGGCATAATTCTGCTTTGATCTTTCTGATGGCGTGTTTGCTTTCAGGCCATACCTGCACCACAGGAGGTTTCCTCAGCAGATGAAGCCCAAGCAGCTAAACGCCCCCGCCTGCCCGCCAGTTCAGCTCTTCCACAAACCCCAGCACTGTCACCGGAGCATCAAAGTGTTAGCAGCCAGCCAAACGCCGGTCCTCCGCCCCAGCCTGCCATGACCAACCAGGAAACCCCCACTCCTTTCAGCAACATTCAAATGGAAACCGAGACCCCAATGGACACAAGTGACCCCCTCACCAGCACTCTCACAGAGTCACCTCTGGTCTCCGACCCCTCGCTGACGCCACAGTCCACGCCCTTTCAGGCTACTTTGAACTCTGACCCCCTTCTCTCCACCCCGTCCCCACCGCCTCCCCCCACACACATGTCAGACAGCTACATGCCCAGCAGCGGCTACGTCTCCTACATGGAGACGCTCCTCCATTCACATTTTCCTCAGGACGATGGCCCCGGCCCCCTGTATTAAACCCACCCCCACCGTGTTATTACACAGCCGGCGGAGGCTGACCCACAGGAAGTAAGCTACGGGGGGTGGGGGGTGAGGGGCTCTGAGTGCCGTATTAATGGACAAACATTTCCTCCTGTTGGCGGGAAAATGGAAGAGACTGAGTCAGCACTCTTTTAATGCATGTTACTTTTCTACTTTTGAGTTGATGTATTTGCAGTGGCGCTTAGCAGCAGCTTAAAAGCTGATCCTGTTTTATAATTATTTTGGACTGAATTAATATTAGCGTTTTTCTTTAAAAATATTTGTTGCTTTTTGTTTTGCCAGCTACTGCTGTGGGTTTAATTCTTTTGTTTAGCTTCTTCCTAATATAAATTCTCTGGGTGGTATCAACCTCATACCTCGTCGTGTTTGCTCCGTAACGGCACACTCCCATGTTGTTGTTTTTTTAGTTATTTAATTGGAAATGTGACGGCCTCTGTGGAACAAGGCTGTGGCGGACTTATACACTTAACTCAATTAACCAGCAACAAGATATTTATTTTTAATCCAGCCGGTTGTGGCTTTGGAACTGAAATCACCACGTTATCCATTTGCACCACACTGTCACTAAGGTGTGGGTTTTTTAGGGAGAGGTACGAGGTAAAAGGGTTGAGTAAAAAAGAAATGTATTGTAGCGGGAACTCAGTATTTAAATGTCTTAGTCAAATATTGAAAGAGTTATTTGTAATAGAGCAAATGTGTTGAATGCAAACATTAGTAGATTTGTCTCAAGGATGCATTAAAGTTTTGTGTCAAAGTAGTTAACGGGGGACACTTTTATGTATTCACGTTGTTTGGCGGCTCCACTTTTTACACCAGAACTGTCTCAGGGTTCCTACGTGAGAGAAATCCGTTTTAAAAACCACGTCTTCGAGGACGATGAGGGAATGTGTCCTCACTCGTAATTGACTCGTGGATTCCTTTAATTTGCTCACAGTTCCACCGGTTGTCCACGATGAAGCGACGTCTCGGATTTTTTGGTCACGTATCTCCTAAAGACACTTAAAGGTAGCTAAAGTAGGGATTTTCTTTTTTAAAGGAACAAGAAATTGTTTTCAATAAGGAAAATTGTGTAGGAACCTTAAAACCTGAATTTGGAATTAATGTAAACATTTATATTGTAACTCTTTGTGTAAGGCAGGTGTGCCCAACCCTGGTCCTCGAGATCCCCTATCTAACATGTTTTAGAAGTTTCCCCTGTTTCAACACGCCTGATTGGAGTCAGTGGTGATTAGCATTTTTCTACAGAGCCTGATTAGCTGTTGAACAGGTGATTCAGCCACTGAATCATCAGGGTGAGACACAAAACAAGCTGGATAGGGGATCTTGAGGACCAGGGTTGGCCACACCTGGTGTAATGTATGTTTTGTTTTCCTATTCTTGTTATTTTCCTGAACTGAATCCACAAACCTGGCCCACAGAAAATCTGAATCTTTTTCTTTTTGGCTGAAGTTTAAAAATTTTGCTTACATTTTCTTTGATAACTTGGTTATCCTTTTTTAAAAACTATATAAACTTTCTGTTCTAAATAGGTGCTACAAAGTTATTAAACTACTCATCAACTGCTTTTCTTTGTACATATTGCAGGCCTTGTGTTGGGATTCATCTTTGTAAATGTCAGGCTATTCCCCCTTTTCCTGTCAAATGAAATTAGATATGTCCATGTTTCTAAATGATATCTGTTGGAAAAAAGTGAAATAAGGATTAAAGTGGGTTATTGGTCGCCAACTCATTTGTGTTTTGTGCATTTATTGGTTCAATCTGAGAAATTCAGAGGTGCTGCAAACATTTAATTAAAACCTTAAAATCAAGTAACAGTTATGTTAAAGTGACTTATAATTAGATTTAATAGGGGCAAAAATAAAATCTTTACATAATTTGGTGTTTTTTTTTTTGTATAACCTCTAAACTGCAGATTTAAACACGGTTTTAAACATTTGGCCCTCAGTAAATGACATTAAAAGAAATAACGTGTTTAGTGATCATATAAAAAATTTATAATTAGCTAAACAGTAGTTTGCATTTATAATGATCTGACTAAACAAAGTTACCGTAACAGCACAACACTCTCTCCTGCATGAAACCTTTTATAAATGTGAAATTTTTTGTATTTATTGGAAATGAATTGAACTCATTCACAAATGATGGAAACATAACCATGTCTCAGGTTTTTCAGGTTTTTAGTGTGAAATCCTTTATTTTTATTTTTTGTGGATTACTTAATTGCAGTGGTCTCTAGAATTAGAGAATGCCTTGCTGGCAATATTAGGGACACGAAAAAGCCCACAAACCCCTGGCTCAGCAGGCCCAAGTCTGCAACATCACAGCTGAGCTGTAGACGACATCTCGCCCCAGATTGGACAACAGCAACGCACCTCTACCGCTGACTTGCAACACCAATGTTTTATCTCTGCAAATTACACAAGCCTGGACGACTTCTTCCATGAAGTGGAGTTGCTAATGCTAACAGTTAGCTTAAACTAGCTGTCTGCTGTTTCTTGGATGTTTATCCAACAGCAGCCTTCCTCATCATGAGTCCAGATGGGTGAGTCCATGAATGCTGATTCACAGTGTGACGTATCTGTGAGGATTGTCAAATCCTAGAGCTTCACCGTCTTTTTTTCTATCTGAAGCTAATGTAGGAGATAGGTGTAGGAGACTGTTTTCATGTTCAGCCTGCATGAAAAACTTAGTGACTGATTATCTTTCCACGCCTTTAAAGAAAATCAACTTTTTCTGGTAAATGTTGCTGCGGGTTGTTGAAATGAATCCTGGGTTAAGTCAGGCAGTGGGGAACCATGATTTTGCTGGACACAGAAGCACGCTGAAACAACCTAACCCTTCAGAGTAAATCACTACTCTGCAGAAGATGTTGAATACAGTAAACAGGTTTCATTTATTGGCTTTATCAATAATAATAATTACCATTTAATACTTTCATGAGCAATTTGATTGAATTACACTGAACAAATATAGAAATGCAACACTTTTGTTTTTGCTCCCATTTTTCATGAGCTGAACTCAAACATCTGAAAATGTGTCCACACACACAGAACACCCATGACTCTCAAATATTGTTCTGAAATCTGTCTACATGTGTGTTAGTGACCACTTTTCCTTTACCAAGAAAATCCATCCCACCTCACAGGTGTGGTATATCAAGGGGCTGATTAGACAGCATGAATAATGTACAGGTGTGCCTTAAGATGGCCCACAATAAAAGGACACCCTGAAATGTGCAGTTTTGCATTATGGGGAGGGGTGGGGCAAAAAACCAATAAGTATCTGGTGTGGCCTCGGTTTGCCTCATGCAGGGCAAATCCTCTCCTCTGCATAGAGTTGATCAGGTTGTTGACTATGGCCTGTGGAATGTTAGTCCACTCCTCTTCAATAGCTGTGCGAAGTTGCTGAATATTGGCCGGAACTGGAACACGCTGTCGTATACACCGATCCAAAGCATCCCAAACATGCTCAATGGGTGTCATGTCTGGTGAGTATGCTGGCCATGAAAGAACTGGGATATTTTCAGCTTCCAGGAATTGTATACAGATCCTTGCAATATGGGCCATGCATTAGCATGCTGCAACATGAGAACAGAACGCCTCGCCAACATGCAAAATGCCATTGAATGCGAGTGTTTGCTCACTGAAATCAGTTACGACGACGGACCGCAGTCAGGTCCAGACCCCGATGAGGACGCCAAGCATGTATATGAGCTTCCTTGAGGCGGTTTCTGACAGTTTGTGCAGAAATTCTCTGGTTATGCAAACCGATTGTTGCTGCAGCTGTCCGGGTGGCTGGTCTCAGGCGATACTGGAGGTGAACATGCTGGATGTGAAGGTCCTGGGCTTGTGTGGTCACACGTGGTCTGTGGTTGTGAGGCCGGTTGGAATTACAGCCAAATTCTCTGAAACACCTTTGAAGACAGCTCACGGTAGAGAAATGAACATTAATTTCACAGGCAACAGCTCTGGTAGACATTCCTGCAGTCAGCATGCCAATTGCACGCTCCCTCAAAGGTTGCGACATCTGTGGCATCGTGCTGTTTGATCAAACTGCAAATTTCAGGGTGGCCTTTTATTGTGGGCCTCACCTGTACATTATTCATGCTGTCTAATCAGCCCCTGGATGTGCCAAACCTGTGAGGTGGGATGGATCATCTTGGTAAAGGAAAAGTGCTCACTAACGCACATGTAGACATATTTCACAACATTACTTGAGAGTCATGCGTCTTTTGTGCATGTAGAAAAAGTTTCAGATGTTTGAGTTCAGCTCATGAAAAATGGGAGCAAAAAGAAAAGTGTTGCGTTTATATTTTTGTTCAGTGTAATTTAGAAAACAGATTTTATTTGAGGATTTTAAATAGCATTAAATAGATTTAAATAGCAAAAGATTATCAAAATGCCAGTCAGCAGCAACCTGCTGCACATTGCAGCATTTTCAAGGTGTCTTTAAATGTGGTATTAGTCAAAGGAAGTCGATTTTCTCTCTTACTGTTGCACTTGGCCTCTTAAGTCAAAGGGGGCTGACAGAAGTGCACTTGTGCAAATAATGTTCCATTTAGTGGAAAATAACCTGCTGTTCTTAAGGCAAAATGTCCTCAGTTTTTCTTCTTTGAACACTTTACTCTGAAGAAGTCCTTAAACCCACAGCGGGACAATAAACGGGACATTTGTTAGCATGCTATTCCGATGTAGGGATTTGTGAATGGTACATGGTAATGGTACACAGCCGTCTTTTATACAGCACCTCCTAGTGTCCAAGAACCCCCCAAGGTTCTTTACAACAGTCATTCGCCCATGCACACTCACATTCACACACTTGTAAAGCATTTATGGAGTCAGCCAGACCAATGCAGAGTTCAGCCATCTAACAAGGTCTGCCGAAACAGCTGTTGGAAGGTTTATGACCAATCTTCTCATCTGTTGAAGAAAGATCTTTGAAAAGCTTCAGTTTGGAGAAACAGATTAGTTTGGAACAGTTGTGCTAACTGGTGGTCACAGTGAAGCCAGTTACAAAAGAGATTTCCACCATAACAAATCTCAACAATTTCATAGCAGTTAATGCTAACGCTGATTTATAAATCTCTATGTTACTACGTAGATTTATTACATTGTATTCTGTAGTCGTTTACATCAGAAATCAGTGGAAAATCTGTTATACTTCTGCTCAGAATTTCATTAATCTGTCAGGCTAATAATGTGATGTGAAGTTGTGAGTGGTGTCAGGATTTAAAATGGTATGAAACGTTATCAGAAATAAGCCATCTATCACATCAACATCGATCTCTGTTTCTCCAAACTGAGGCCTTCAAATAGCTACAGGTAAGACTGGTCATATTTTCCTCAGAAACCCTACCAATGATCCAACGTTACTCTTCAGTGACTCAAACAAGTATTCGGTTGGTACGACTACTTTTGCATCAGAACATTAAAGAAAACTTCCAAAATAAAGTTTTATGCAGCAGAACAGGTTGAGGATATGCTGTGCAAAAGTGTGAAATTATATTGCACAATAGTCACTTAAATTAAAAAGACATTTTAAAGGTTATAGGGATCTGCAATGTACTCCAGAATTACCGTTAGATCAAATCCGCTTTTTTTTTATGTACCTCCTCTTAGGTTCAAAATGTGTTTTTTATTGGTTGGGAACATAAACTTCATTAATAATTAATTACTAAGTAAAAATGCATCACAGCTGTCTTTCAGTGTTTTATTCCATCATTTCTACATTCATGAACAGGATTCACTCAAATACTTCAGAGTTATAAGAGCTTCACAATTTACAAGAAACCCATTGAGGCGAGGATAAAAGTTAAAGAAAAGGTCCGTAAAAGAACAAGAATTCTTTGTCTTGTAGACAAATTGCCAGTCTTTGTTTGCCCCACCTTTACACACACACACACACACACACACACACACACACACACGCACGCACGCATGCACGCACGCACGCACGCACACACACACACACACTTGCTTTGAATATGCCCAGCCTGCATTGCCCTCGCTGGAAAAGGGTGACCATTAACATTCGGAAGCGTCTGCGGTCCCTGCAGACGAACTCGGGGTGTGCCAGCTTGACAATTACTTTAACAACTAAGGAGTTTGATTTCTTTAGTCAGCTGAACCCAGCTGGGGAATAGCTAAGAAACAAGCTGAAAAGGACATCCAAGGACAAAAGTTTATGCCGACCCATCTGTAGTTTATGTGAACAAAAGAGCAGGAAACTTCTGGAGTTTTCCAGTGGAGAGGACCCAATCAGACACACACACACACACACACACACACACGCGCACACGCACACACGTAAGTTTAAAGTCCACGGGCACCAGTGTAAGTGTGTCCATCAAAACGTCCTTCAGGATGACATTTAAATCTCTAACCTAATGGTTGACTATCACACAGCTGAATGGCTTACATGGAAATGGAAATGGCTGAATGCAGTTGGATCTAATTGCAGATGAAAGTGGCAATTATGTTGACAAGCTGGTTGATATGACAGGCTCCATTATAGCCTTAAGCTTTTATTACATTTCTGCATCGTAAATCACATCACCGAAGCAGGATCACACCGTAATGACTCAGTCGAGTTCCATCTGTCAGCACTGTCTTCCCTTTAGAAGAGGATCGGACTGAATTATTAGAAGTTCTTCATCTGAATGAACTCCACCAAATTTCTAAGAAGTAGCCGTGATGTGACCTGGTTTCTTCTAGACCTGCTTCAGT